CACATGTTTACGTAGAATATCGTAAAAAAAATGTTCATTAACACAAGGTTTTCCCAGTTGGAAGCTTTACATCCCGTTCGTCTATTAAAGAAACTCTCCTCCCGTGCCTTTCAACTTTCGGCATTTGACATCAGTAACAGCGAAACGCAAAAATGTCGGGATAATTACTAGCGTCTCCTTACTAAAACTTGTGACTTGAAGTTTCTGAGAGATACACAGACAAACACTGATGTATAATGTGAAGGTTCAGGAAATGAACTCTACATACAGTATTGACATTCTTCAACCTCAAGGGTAAAAAAATTCGCGAGCATAACAGCAACGCTGGGGCAGAAATTACTGATATTTGAAATATAATAAATGTCCATTTTGATGCACTAATACAAAATCGAAAATACGCGATTTTGTTTTCGCGTCATAATATCCAAAAGGAACATACTTAAGTGACGTTTATATAGCTCAACATTAGGCTGTGGTTAGCTAGGCCGTGATTGGCTGGTCACTGGACATGAACTGTACGTGATGGGTTCGTGTTCAGCCAGGCAGGGTATAGATGCACGGGCTCCATTAGTTCCCTCCTGACACTCTTTTTGTTCTTCTGTTTTCTTAAAAGGAAAATACTTTTTTCAGTACTGTTTAATAAATTACTTTATGTCAGTATATTGGTTTTTGTATTTAATCCTTCTTTAAAAAATCCTACTTCGGCGACATCCTGTCTGGGAAAGTAAATTTACTGAGAAAATGTACAGAAAAGGAGTTATTAACTTAATAGTTATTATTTATTAACATATTTTAAAGTGCATATTTAAGTGCATATTTTCTCAGTTTTTACTGCATATTTGCATGCATATTTAGCCATTTTTAAATGCATAATTATCCTAAGCCATTTTTAAATGCATAATTATCCTAAGCCATTTAGTATAGGCTCTGAATGATGGTACGGTATATATTCATGTTTACTTTCCCCACAATCTTATATAAGGTTCACACAAAGTATACATTACAATTAACAGTACTGGAATCATTAAGAGGATAAAGTCTATATATTGATTGCTTGTGATGTACCCAATTTGCCCTCAAAATATCTTCTACAGTTGATAAAAATAAACTTGGTCCACTCTTGTCGTACCATCCAGTGTACCCTTTTAGGACTGGAGGAGGCGAGTACTGTATTCACTCGGCTGCCGCATTATTTATAAGTATAAATGGGTTATTTGTGCGTCATGAACCCAAGGAACGCGTACGAGTAAGTTGTAGTGATGTGCATAAGTGAATAACCTGTGACAGAGTGTTACTTATACTCAACATGAACACACATTCTGAAGCTTACTCAAATAATTATTGATATGATGATGAGATGTGACGTGACGTGGGGGGGGGGGTCATTTTATAAGCAGAAATAACACATCCGGAAGCAAGCTGTCATAAAAACGCTTGATATAAAGTGTTTTAACTGAAAATATCTTGTTAAAATTGCAGTCGTGTTTCTAAGCCAAAAGGTTAACTGTGTGACATTATACATTCTTTACATCTGAATGGAAATATAATGTTAAGACTATATTTACTAAACAACAATATATAATTAGATATTAATAGCACTACTTTAGTCACGATAGAACGATAATTCCTGACATTTTGAGGCAACTGGTTTTATGTCACAGTGAGGTTAAGAGCCACTACGCTACTGGGGATTTTCTTGATTGACACCCACCGCATTATTGTCCATGTAAAAATACTCCATGTAATATATTCTCCGTGTTGATCACAAAATCTCTAACATTTGATCATGTATATTGCTGATTTTATTTTTTTTACTTCTATTACAGTTAAAACACAATACCTTTACCTAGTACAATATTATATATATCCATGTTTTCCATAATCGGTAATAATCTGCATACAAAAGGAATTAATTTTCAGAACTTTTGCCGTATATAAAAAATTAAATATAATGTATCGAATATAAAAAATATATATTCAGGTATTTATTTAAAACATACGGCGGGAAAATAACATTCTTTTTCACATCTTAACCTGGAAGTCCCGTCGGAGAAAAATACATTATTATTTTTTTTTTCTATTCATGGATTCTCGACTTCTAACTAATGCAGTTCATATAACGTCACAACACCTACAAGGACTTAGTTCTATTCTCACGGTATGTTATTTATTTTTATTTTTTTTTATACTAGGCCTTGAGGGGGAAGTTGAGAAGTTTAACCTCACGTTCAGTAACTGTGCGCAAAATGTTTAAGACTGCTGTCGTGTAGAGCCCCGGGAGGGTCTTAAGAACATTGGGATAAACTGACAAAGTAAAACTGCATATTATCCAACAGCAATTACATAGTGCTTGATGATGACTATGAGTATATTTACGAATTGCTTTTACTTTAACCCATTTTAAATCCTATGCAACTCATTTCTTCCTCTTTAAACAATTTTAATCTAAAATAACCCATTTTAATCATATTTAACCCATCTTAACGCTACATAACCTATTTTAATCCTATTTAACCCATTTCAATTAATTTCAACCCATTTTAATCTTCTTTAACACATTTAATCCTATTTAACCCATTCTAATCCCTTTTAACGAATTTTAATCATCCTTAATCCATTTTAATCCCCCATAAAGTGTATGTATGTATGTGTGTACGTATGTACGTACAGGATATGAACGTATGTGAGCATATGTACATTTATATAAGTACGTGTAGTCTAGTACGTGGGTTACATTGTTATTGTTTTGTGTGTCGTAGTTATAGAGAATAATATTAATTAATCGTCTATGTACATACAAAGTAAATAGACACGTTATCCTCCGTTATACTGGTATACGGTATACCCTGTGGCGTATCTGCTCTTGTTAGTCACAGTGATACAGACACACACACACACATATACTGTATATAAACACAGTGACATACTTTAAAACAGTGACACTTAAAACAACTATATACTTAAAACAGTAACTATAATAAAAACAATGCAGTACTTAAACGGGAATATATATATATATATATATATATATATATATATATATATATATATATATATATATATATATTATATCTGAGACAGTGGAGAAGAGTAAGAGAGAGAGACAGTCAATGGTTGGGTATATATACACTTACAAGCGTCTCCCTTCTCTAACACAATCAGTAAGACTTCCAGCAGCTGAGGTCTGGCCTTAACTTACCTCACCATCTATACATTGGCGGTCTCTGCCCCTCCCACACACATACACACAACCTCCCCACACTCATACATATACACATACACACAGTGAGGTTTAAGTTACGATTAAATTGGGTGTAAGTTAGGTTTAAGTTAGGTGACGTGTAAGTTAGATTAAGTTGGAGAAGTTTATTATTTCGAGATGATATTAACGAAAATGATCACTGAGAAGAAGTAGCAGGTGGGAGTTGGGGAGAAGGAGGAGGTGGCAGGAAGAATAAGAAAAGGAGCCTCCTGTGATCAACAATTGGCCGGAGGACGGAGGCGCTCGGAGTCAGGGCAGGATGGGTCCAATAATTCCCGTCAACTGGAGTGTTTGCAAAAGGGAGGAGCGGGTCAGGAGGCGTCAACAGAATCAGGAAAAGTCCATCAACACAAGAGATCTGTCAGTGGCCCCACCAGCACACCAACTGCTCTGGGGCCACCACAGTCACACGCAGCTACAACTTCGAAAAAAAAAATGATCGATTGAAAACGCGATCCTGCACATAGCCTATCTAAAAGACTTTATTAATAATATATATCCCTTCATATTTGGATAATAATTACGGTATTGTTGTTTTCAATGTAATTCAGGTAATACTCTTGTCGCCCCATTGTAAGTAATTAACTAGAAGAAAAAACAATCAGAATGAGTCGGTACTGTTCTAAAGAAAACAAAACGTAAAACCATCACCAAACATAAACGTCGGAAATAACCATCTGATCGACGCCCGGGCCCACACAGGGAGTATCTCCGTCAGCTAAAACGCGGATAAAACAACAGAAAAAAAAGGTATTTCCTCGTCACAGTAACTATCGCGAGTGGAAGCGATCTCCCTGAAACAAAAACAAAATCAATTGTGTGATTAAAAAACGGCGTGTGTGTCTTGCTCTGATAAATATATAATATATATAATTGACAGTCCAGTGTGTTTTTTGTTCTTGTATACTGTAATTTCCTGAACATTTATATATATAAAAAATGATACCTTAATTTTTTTATCAAAGGTTAGTTTCTCTATCCGGGAGCATAACAATAATAGCAATAATAATAATAATAATAATAATAATATATATATATATATATATATATATATATATATATATATATATATATATATATATATATATATATATATATATATATATATATATATATATATATATATATGTGTGTGTGTGTGTGTGTGTCTGTAACTTCTAGCGCTTGTAAAACGAAAATAATCCAGTATGAATAACGCACTCACACATACACACACACACATCCCTTGACAATTCTACCCCCACACACATACAAACTTTACACACAAGCTAAAAAATGTAGAAAAAACCTCTAGCTAACAGAGTACTTCAGCTTCTGTGTTGTCCAGTCACCCCTATTAGGTTACGTTAGGTTATCCTGTAGATTAAGTTAGTGTTAGGTTAGGTTGGCCTTAGGTAGGTTAGATTAGGTTAGATAGCTTAGCTTAGCTTAGCTTAGCTTAACTTAGCTTAGCTTAGGTTAAGCCAGGCAAAGTTAGGTAAGTTAGCTTTAGGTTTGGTTAGGTTAGCTCGAGTAAGTGATTAAATGACTTTATCTGACTTCAGACACAGAGAAACATTGGAAATTTATTGAAGAGGAAAAATTAGATACTATGTTTATGAATGAGGGGATAATGGCAGAGATATTAATGGGTAAAACAGGGATTATACATTACCCCCCCCTTCTCTCTCTCTCTCTCTCTCTCTCTCTCTCTCTCTCTCAAGAAAGATACGCCAAAATTGTTCTTTCTCCATTACAGAGTCTTACCCTCCCGAGGAGGAGGAGGTGGGCGTGGTGGTTGACCCAGTGATAGCACAGGCGTTACTCCAGCTCCTATCCCCTCCCGCCCTAGGCCGGAGGAGCTCCCAACCGCCTCCCGCTCGCCCCGTCCTGACCCTCCTCGCCAACCTCGCCAGACCTCCCCTCAAACGAGATGCCAGACAGGTTAGTCAGTCGTCTTGCCGTGTTTGTGTGTTGGACAAATATGTAGAAGTCTTCGTTTTCCATGTCTGCCTAAGTTAGACTCCAACTCTGTGCCTTCTAAAGTATATTTTTGACTAAGTTATACAGGCTTTATATCTTCTATTTACATAATTTACGTAATGTTTATACCAGCTGCCATTTGTCTACATCGGGTGTTGTGTTTACATTATGGGTGTTGGGCATAAGCGTCTTGGTTTGTTTATGTTCGTCTTCGTCAGCAAGTCGGCAACACAAGTCACACTCACAAACACATAACAACACTTGTATTTTTTTTTTATCTCATTTGCCTTAAATGGCTACCCACCCTTGGGGCTATTTTGATGCATCACAGTCGTGCGTTTTGGTTTTCCTTAGTAGGAGATCGTGATTAAGTAACCATCATATTCCAGCTGTTTCGTGACTGGCAGCTGTCTTCTTTCTTCATCTTCATTGTCTTCTTTCTTCTTGCCTGACCTTTTTCTCCGGCTTTATTGTCCTCTTTATTCTTCATCTTTACTGTTTGACATCTGAAAATCAAATATATTAGGATAAAACGAGAACAAAACATTTCCTTCACCAGAGTATGTAAAGTGTTTCGAAACTATATAAAAAGAGTCCAAGAACAACATGAACAATATACAGTACTGGATTCTCTTTGGGAGGGAAAACGAAAACAACATACTCTTTTTTTCTTCTTTTTTTTGGGGGGGGGGGGAAGAAACTTTATTTTGTCACCCTGAAAATCATGAAACTCGTACTCCTAAAAAAAAATATCAAAATAAGAATACGGTACTCCAAAACAAAAATTAATTTCATCACTTCGCCTAAATGAACAATCCGGCTTCTTTTCTTCATATAAACGAAGGTGCAGTATTGTGTATATAAACAAATACCACAAAGATCCATATGTCAAAAAAAATTTTCCATTACCCAACATAAAACGTAAATAACATGTTCACTGTGAGAACAACGGGTAGTTGGAGGAGGACGGGGAGGAGCCTAGCCATTGTGAGGGTGAAACATGTGGGGGACAGTAATGAGGGATGGTGAAGGGCCGCCTCGTCTTAATGAGATACACCTCCAGTGTCTCCTGTTATCCTCCTCCTGTACATAGTTGACACCACTCAAGAACAGAGTGTAAATGTAGATATTAACTGCCATTCAAAAATGAACCTGGACAACATCTGTGGTACTCATCATCATTAATCTACAAGTAACACACACAGGCGGTAATTAAACGGTATTAGCTGCTTTAAGGCCAGTTTTTTCTTGTTGGACAGGCTTACGCTACCTTAGTGAAGATCTTACACACCGATTGGAACATAGTCCAGGCTTTTAGTGGTGCTACAACTTAAGTACTGTACTGTATATGTAATCAGCATCACCTTCGATGTAAAACTACTGGCAAGATAAATTATTACTTTTGGGGTGAAAAGTCCTATAAGACAACATACCATTACTTTGCTCATGAATAGTCACATCATGAAATTATAGCCTAATATAAAACTGTACAGTACATAATGGTCTCGTAATCAGATTCTCTACCCTAATTTTCATAAATAAATTTGAATATGCTGTAAAATAAATAAACAAAATCATTATGAAGACACAAATGAAGAACAACAACCTTACATATGAAATTTAGCTACATTAATAGTTCTTCACACGTAACAACAGCGATACAAAAATTTTATAGAAATTTCACTTGACTATCTTTCTTGGTCTTTAGCCAATCCCTATGTTACAGATAAAGAAGACAAAAATCGTAGTGTTATATTTGGTAATTAGAAAAAGTATATTTGTGTGTTTATTCTTGTCAACAATGAAAACCAAAGCACCAGTCTGGTTACGCGTGATTTTTATTTCCAGGAAAGCCTCAGACTCGGCTGGCCAAAGACTTCAAGAGTGTTAAAACCTATCAGACCTTACCTTACAAAACCTAAATATTTTTTAGAGGTAAGCTTTGGTTGGTTAGTAATTTAATTTACGTCTGCTTTGTTCGGTAGGTAAAAACTGGCGGTGAGAAGGGTATATACTGTAGACAGCTGAGGATGGTTAGCATTTTTTTGTTCGGCTGGTAGAAATTAATGAGGGTGATGAGTCATACTGGGAAAAAAATCATGGGTCTGGATTGAAGGGGTTGTTATATTGTGTAGTATAGGATAATACATTCCGTCAGTGTTATTATAGTCTCACGATATCCACTGTAGCATTATTATTAACATTTCGTTAGTCATATTATCATTGTGGTTACAATATAATGTTTTCTATAGAATGGTGTTATAATTATTATATGTCTGTGTACCTTATTGTGATTGCAGACATATTTTCAAAGCATTGTTATTGTAGCTATTGTATTCTTGGTGTAGGTACTGCTTTTTCTTTGCTATAATTTGGTTCTACATATCTCGTTGTTATTGTATTAGAATATGGATTACTGTATAGGCAATAGTTGTATTATTGTAGGAAGCATTTTTGTTAACATAGCTACTTCTGGTATGTCTCTATTAGTGAGGCCAAACAAAAATTTACTCTCACAATTAACACTTTGGTCTTATATTACAACTAAGCACTGTTATTATTATTACTACTACTTTCATCACTACTAATTGCTGTCACTACTATTACTACTACTACTACTACTACTACTACTACTACTACTACTACTACTACTAATAATAATAATAATAATAATAATAATAATAATAATAATAATAATAATAATAATAATAATAATAATAATAATAATGCCACCGATTTTTTTCTCCTCGTACAACTATCAACATAACACTGACAGTACCACAGCTACAGTAAAGCTCGGATTAATCACTCAGCTAACAACGGATATAAAATTTAATACTGGGTTGCAATTGTTTAATGCACCAAGTTATACGTACTTTATGATCTTTATACTTCATTTTCGTTATCATGTGTCTTGCACCTATGGTAAAGGATATATAATTTCTGACTAGTAAACATAATAATACTTAAAACTTACTAAAAAAAGGGAGAGATACCGTTTCTCTGATGTGTTACCCTCAAGTCGATTTAATTTAGTTAACCTGAAAATTAAGAAAGAAAATGTTGTAATTCTTTCCTGGGATTCTTATCTGTTAATCTCTCTGTTTATGTGTTAGTCTATAATCGTTTTCAAGTGTGTGTTTGTATGTCTGTCCATATCAAGTTTTTTTTTATAATTCAGGCTTTACTGTAGTAGTTATGTATTTTGTACTGTAATGTAATTCTAGAATTCTCGTGATCTAAGTTCAGTATCTATTCTTATAAACGTAAACGTATTGTGTTTTTGTTAATTAGATCTTTAGAGTGTTAATTAATTTTAACTCTATATCTTGAGGGCTTTTTTTTCTGTACAATGGATTTCTTTTACGTTTATTATTAACTATTTTGATATTTTCTCAGAATCTTCGCGGAAAGGTAAGTTCAACAATGACGAGCCAACTGAGTCTCACACCGAATGAAGGACACAGTAATTTTCACTTTTTTTTTCCAATCTTTTATGAAAACGCTTTTTGCATGAGACGCTCCCGAATGACTTAATAATGATCAAAACAAATTTCAAATACCGAAGACCAATCAACTGAGCACTGTACAGTATTCAGATTATGAAACGCATGTACGGTTAAGATCCGAGTCTGTAAAGTGTGAAGAATGTTTCTCGTGCCGTAAAAGAAAGAATACCACGGTTGACATGGATGAACTTCGTCTGGCGAATCGCTGCGTGGAGAAGTGGATCGCCAGACTACGTTGATTTCTTGTACTGGCGGTATTTTTATAGTGTGGGTGTGTGTATGAGCGTGAGTTTGAGTGTGTGTGCACCGTCTCTGCCTCAGCGTTCCGAACACAGCTTTGCACCTGGCCGAAGCAATGCAAGCAATGCATCTATTTACCTAACTTGCACTTAAATCTTGGAAGCACTTTGAGTATTTGAAGCATATCTTAAGCTGCTCATAATAACCATATATATATATATATATATATATATATATATATATATATATATATATATATATATATATATATATATATATATATATATATATATATATATATATATATATATATATATATATATATATATATATATATATATATATATATATGTGCAATTTCTTGCATGTTTATTCATCCATTTTAAACTACTTTATCAGTAAGTGCATGTTGCTTGACACGATTTAATTTATTACATTATTCCCATGGGATGATAAGATTTATACCTACCTGGATGCTTTTACACTTAACATGACCGAGCTAATTAATGTCCGTCTACTATTCATGAACTGACAAGAACGAGTCCACATGACAGTCACTCTGTTCTCAACCTTCAAGTTCTTTCATTCTCTATATAGTTAGTACCCGTCACAGAGGTACTATCTTTTATTTCATGTAAAAGTGTGGGTGTGTGTGTGTGTGTGTGTGTGTGTGTGTGCGTGTGTGTGTGTGTGTGTGTGTGTGTGTGTCTTTATTTCATCCATCCTTCTCGACCAATCAGACCTTCAACTGTTCCAAAGGCCACCACTCTTCCCTCACCCCTCAGTGCCTGCATTAAGGTTCTCGCCTCGTGCATGTAATCTGACAATTTAGCATCAATCAAGACATGCAAATTCCTCTTACATCAACTAGCACTTGATTGTGTTTTTTTTTTGCCACGAAAAAACAACTTGAAACGAATTTAAATGCTTATTGATGACGGTTAAAGGTGTTACAGAATACACCCACGTCATTGATGACTGGCCAATAGGATTACAGAAGTCTCTAGCGTTAGTGATGACTATTCAATGGTGTAAAAGAAAGCATTAGCGTCATAGACGATGTACAAAATAGTGTTTATAAGAAACAGTGACGTCCTTGATGAACTAGTGATAACTTACAATGCGACTTATAAGTATTGCTAACTTTATGAACAATAGTCATAATAAATAACAGCCTCAAACAACCTTCTGAAATGTTTCTAAACTTGTCAGGCGGTTAATGTTTAATTTCTGAAAAGTTTTTAATGAAAATCTTTAAAGTATCAGCCTCTAGAATATATATATATATATATATATATATATATATATATATATATATATATATATATATATATATATATATATATATATATATATATATATATATATATATATATATATATATATATATATATATATATATATATATATATATATATATATATATATATATATATATATATATATATATATATATATATATATATATATATATTACACGAATATAAATAACAAGGAGCTGTCAACTTATCTCAATATAAGACAGATCCTCCACCCTTAACAGCCACTTACTATACCTTTATTCTGTATTTCAGACAAACCTGGGCACAGTGGTGAGTACTGGGGTCCACCCTACCCTGACCTCTTGCCTCACCCACACACTCGATCATAACTACGTACACAAATCCTATTTAGGACAAAATAATCGTTCCCTTGTGTAATATCATTCAAGTCCTAGTTACCTTAGCAGATTAGATTAACCCCTTAAGTAACATCGTCCATGTGGTAAGATTTCATGAGTTAAAAATTGACACATTTGTCCAATTTTCTCTGTATAAAATAAAGGAATATATTTTGCATATGTATGAATTCAATAATGCTATATTTCTCATATATATATATATATATATATATATATATATATATATATATATATATATATATATATATATATATATATATATATATATATATATATATATATATTACATTTAGCAATTTTATTCTTACTGAAAGTGAAATAAAAGACTAATTACATGCTACTTTTTTATTTCCTGCTGCCGGGATGTAGGCGGTAAGTCCTGCTGTGTTTTGTGATATGGATTACAGAAAATGTGATAGAATATCCATCAACCATGCACTCGAGTTATGCTGTTCTTTACATAAAACTTTAATAACAAATATATTGCTCTTTCAGTTGTAATACTCATTATATATTATATTCAAATTAATTTTAAAATATATTTTTGAGTTGCCTTATTTATTCAAGCAACCGTAATGACTAACAATATTATGTGTTTGTTTCTGGTGCAATCAGATGTGTCGGGTAAGTACTGGATGCCATTACTTTACATAAACCTCAAGATAAACAAGATTCCACCGAAGATCTTATGAGCCTTCATAATATTTACATATAAAATAATATTGTTAGATGATATTTTAACTGGAATTTACCTTCCTGTAAAACTTACAATAAACAAAGACAAAAATAACAAAGGGAAATTACGTTTTCCCTACTTACTGACCCCAAGCTATTTTCACCAGGCTTTTATTTGTGATATACCTAACATTTAAATCATTTTTTATCATTATTTCTATAGGCTAGGCTAATCTCCGGCCCTGGAAGCTACCCTAACCTACCCCTAACATATCATAATCTAACCTAACTTAATCGACCCTACCCCAAGCTTAACCTAACCTAAATTTCATCTACCTCTAGCCTAATCTAACTTATAAAACCTAACCCATCCAGCCTAGCCTAATGTTATTTGCCTTACCCGTAACAACCCACGATTAAAGTTTCCGGTTCAGGGTTCGGTTATTGGTTTAGTCTGAATGTTGTTGGGGACAGATACCCCCTTATAATACCAACAGGTCCACTATTACTCTAACTTATTAATCTTTATCTCCCCCGCATCAAACGACCCCTCGCACTCAACGCACCTTCGCACTCAACGCATCTTCGCACTCAACGTACCTTCGCACTCAACGTACCTTCGCACTCAACACAGCTGGATGAACGGGTTAGTGTCCTTTGTACAGTATACGAGTATCTATAATCCATTTGAATCAAAAGAGCCAAGATTTCTTTAATTTTATCTCTCTTCTGTATCTCCCCCCTTCTTCCCTTTCTTCTTTACCAACATTTAGTATCACAAGAGAAGCTGCAATTAAGAGAGAGAGAGAGAGAGAGAGAGAGAGAGAGAGAGACCATTTTCGGAAGCTCGCTACCTCTTGGAAATAAATGTATTGATACTGGACACCTAGACGTTAGTTTCCACCCTGAACTCGTGCTGTAAGAGCTTATCAAACTGACACACATACTTACGCTTCGATCATATAAAGTAAATAAAGTTAAGACATACTTCTACGGCTCAAGTGGTATAGAAATTTAATCCTGACTATATAGCTTCATATCTACCCAAATATGAGGCCAATTATGTAATAGTGTTAAAAATATCTTGTAAGAACATAACCCCATAGTTTTCTACATCATTCAACCTCGATTTCTTATCTCATGCTCTGATAAGATTGTTTGTATGTCTCTGAAGTACGACATTAATTCTCGTAAATATAAATGAAACGTGGCTCTTCATCATATAAGACGTTATCTGGGAGTTGATCTTTCATCTCCCCTGACACACGCCGCGTTGCTGCTCACTTGCCCACACCTTCTAATATTTGTCTCATCATGTAAAACTCTCAGCATCTCCCATCATGAAAAAGCAACTGATAAGACATTCAGGTGAAAATCAGAGGCAGTCAGTGAAAATAAAAACCATTTCTAGGAGAATCTGAACGTAGGAGAAACATAAAATACGTGGTAACATTTTGGGTCTTTTCAAACTCGCTGTTCTGGCTTGAGTACGTGCGAACTTCTTTTTAATGTACTTTTACTCTGACAACCCCAGTATATTTATATGGCACCATTCACTAATATTCTTGTTTAATTCAGTATTTTTTAAATTATCTCAGTGTAAATAGATGAAATTAGAATACTTGTATTATGAAATAGCTGAGTGGCCTACACACGCCTTTCATTGTGTAACCTAATTCCAACATTTTGACGTGTGCCTTCCCGACAATCAAACACTACAATCATATAAATTTATCACAATTATGCTCCTGTAACATTAATATATCATGCCCGTCTTTTAATGTCGGTATTGGTATAAACTAATTATGTTATTAGAGTGCAACATTTGGTCAAAGGAAACATTTCAAAGGCGTAGATCACGTTTGTTATTGGATACACACACACACATATGGAGGTAACTTATGTGCTTGTATCGATAATAATGTGTTTGTGTTTTATGTACGCCCATATGTGCTTGTTAAAACACTTGATTGGATATGTTACCGACTACCGGTATGTTTGCTTCGGAACATACTGAAACATCTGTTCGAACGTTTGTTTATAGCAATACAGCGATTATTTTAAGTGTTCGAATGAGTGCTCGAATATTCTAAGATGCCTGCGTACTTTTTTTTTACGTGTGTTTTAGAGAATATTTATTTAAAGATGCTATTCAAGTCTCAATGATATTTTGACGTTGTGTGTGTGCCGTTGAACAAGTCAGATGCGTTCGCAATACCAAGGTCAAACAGGATTAAACTTAAAGACGACAAGAAAGAAGATAAAAAACGAAAGAACAGAAGAAGAGAATGCAATAAAGCGAATGAGAAAAGAGATATGAAAGGCTGGAGAGACAAAGAGCAAAGAGAGAAAACATAAGAGGAAGAGAATAGAGAGAGATACAGCTTTCACTTTTGTAAGTCCCACAAAGGTCTGCTTGAGGGGTGATTATCGAAGCCTCGCAGGGCAAAACTAAACAGAAATTAACTAACAGTGATAACTTTGTATAACATGAGTGAGGACGAAAGGAAATAAGAAAGAGGGTGGGAGGGAATTCTGATAAAAACGAGTCTGTAACATGTCTTGGTTGAAGGTTAATAGCCCTCCTGTCCTGTTAGATTTTATACTGAATCATGTTACCCTGACCTGACCTGACTTGATTTAACCTGACTTTACCTGACCACACGAAACGTAATTTTTTCTATCTAACCAAAATCTAGTCAAACCAAACTTAATCTAATCTAAATCTGACTTAATCTAACCTAACACAACCTAAACTATCTTACTCTGATCTAACCAAATCTAGCCAAACCAAACCTAATCTAATCTAAACAAATTTGACCTATACTAACCTAACCCCAATCTGGATCATCCTAATCTGACTTAAACTCTCGCGGAAATATTATATAGTCGGTCAGTCAGGCAGAGGCATTGATGTGAACTAACGCAACCCAAAAATTATCACAACAGTTTAAGATGGCCAGAGAGCCGCGTCACCCCTCCCCCGCCGACAAAGTTAGATGAGAAAAGTGTGCATAAAGATTACGAGGGAATGACCCCAGCACGAGGACGATCTGCCCTCCTCCCCCCACTCATAAGGGTTAACATTCGATTATTATCACCACCACAACCACCCTTAAGAGACACTTCTCCCTCCTTCCCTCCGTGGGGTTTGGTTCTCCGTACAGAAGTTTCGTTTCCAAAGGATAGTGTGTTTGCATTGTATTGAGTAGCACGACCTTCTTCAACGTATTAAAGCATTCAGTTTTTTTTTGTCTAATCAGCTGAAGATGTAGCAACGCAAGATATATTTTCCTACGTAATAATAATAATAATAATAATAATAATAATAATAATAATAATTCATATCCACCCAAGAGCGTCCGTTGGGAGGAGGATAGGGAGGGAGGGAGGGAGGGAGGGTGTGCGACTCGTTTTACAGAGAAAGCGACTTAGTTTACGGAGAACGTGATAGGTAACATTGGTAGTAGGGGAAAGCAACAATAAGGGAGGTTAGTGGGGAATGATAATTGTGGTAGCAGTAGTTGTGGTGGTGGTGACAGTAGTAGTGTATAATGGTTGCAGTAATGGTAGTATGTGGCAGCAGTTATTTAGTAGTTGTAGTGGTGATGATGGTGGAGGTGGTAGTGGGCGGTCGCTCATCAAGGATGGATTACAGTTCGCCAAAGCTGAAAATAAGTATTGTTTCACCAGGCAGGCAAAGTATAGGCTATCTACAAAAAAACCCAGCTCCCTCCCTTCCTGCTACACAATCTCCCTCTTCCCCCTTTCCTCCCCCCCTCACTTTCTCACCTATTACATTCTCTCCCTTCCCTTATTACCTTCCCACATTTTCCTCTTTCCTTCCATGTCCTCCCTCATTCTCTCCCATGTCCTCCCTCATTCTCTCCCAGCTCCCTTCCTTCTACACCCCCTCCCTCCTTCCCCCTTTATACTCCCTCACTTCCTCTCCCCCATCCCATTTTACATTCTCTCCTCTTCCTTTACCAAGTTCCCACCCCCCTTCACTTCTTTTACCATTCCTTCTCCTTCCCTTTTCCCCTTCCCTTTTTATCTATCCTGTTAATTATCCCCCCTCCCTGGTTCGTTGACGCTTATTATTTATTTCCCTCGTTATTGCCTCATGCATGTTCTTTCTCTTCCTATGTGTTCTATCATCCTACTCTCGTTTATCCTCTTCCTCTTATTCTTCTTCTCACCCCAGGCGGAAAGAGTACGATTATGTACAACATAAAATTAATAACATGTGGGTTTTATCAACAACAGGAAATTGAGTGAACAGTTTTATATTAATTAAAATGTATTTTGGTTCTCTTGTGCATATGTTCTCTCTCTCTCTCTCTCTCTCTCTCTCTCTCTCTCTCTCTCTCTCTCTCTCTCTCTCTCTCCCACACACACACACACACACACACACCTACACTATGCCTTGCAGCTACTATTTATAATGAATTTCAAAGTCTTGATAAGAAAATGTTTTAAAACTGATTAATAGTCCTGTACAATATTATATCAACGTCTTTGCTATTGTCACCTTTCATTTCCTGGTATTAATGTGAGTATTTTCTCTTCTACAGAACTGCCCAACTGGGGTGAGTAGTGGTAACAGGGTTTATTTCAAAAGGTGGAAGTTCATATTTACAGACAATAATCATATTTCATTCTGACGGTTCATATGCCGTAACAACAAATGGTTCTAATAGTCTCAGAACGTTGGGGCTTTTATTTTTTCTAACCTAACCAAACCAAACTTTGTCAAAATAGTCTAGAATGTCCTCAGCCTGGTTTTAGAGGGCCTGAAAACCGAAACAGAAAAGTGGAATTGCTATTAACATGAATATATTGTACTGTCTCCTACAGGGCCGGATTTACCTACTTGTGGGCCCCAGGCCAAACTCATCAGTGGGCCCCCAAATTTATAGAAATGCTTGCATGTTTCAATAATCAATATATATATATATATATATATATATATATATATATATATATATATATATATATATATATATATATATATATATATATATATATATACTGAGATTTTGAACATAATGTATTATTTTTGCCGAAAATGACAAAAATTGTAAGTCTTTTATGCCTTACGGGATTTTTGGCCAAAAAATAGATTTTGTTCAAAATCTCAGTATAGGTACTCCTGAATAATCTATTTACCCCGTTAGTTGTTTGAATATGTTATCAGCAACACACACTACTGGCATTTGTCAGAATTCACAAAGTCGTGTAGGAAGTGAAGCTAAAAAGATATATCGGATTGATTGATTTAAGTTAAACACAATAATTACCAGTACAGTATACACTTTACATCCAAATACTGTATAGTACTGTAACATGATAATATACTGAGCAGCTCCTAACATTAAGCTTACCATTCTTGTTGTGTGGGGTAACGGTTTGTCGGAGCATCTTGATAACGAGTTAGGATCTGTCTGAAGATCTAGGTTAGAGTTAGACCTTGTTTGAAGATCTTGGTAAACATTAGGATACCTGAATATTCCACTACCTAACCATAGCCTCGTAAACGTATTTTGGAATTTATTGTATTTTCTCTCCCTCTCTACAGGACCAACTCGCCAAGAAATCCGAGGGACCTTCTTGGTTCAGATCACGGGACACTGTCTGGCGGAGGCTCAACTATATACTTGGTGGAAACCTCGATCAGGTAAGGACAAAGGAGAGTGTGTGTGTGTGTGTGTGTTTAAGAATAACTAATACATAGGAATAATCTTAACATAAAACTCTTCTGTTATATCTGTATCATCTGGTTTTGATGAAATGAGTAACACAATCCCCGTTTTTTTTCATTTATTATGTATACTACGTAAGCAAACTGGAATATGAAGCTGTGTAAATATTTCTATATATTGTCTTCATCCTTTCCACACTTAAATTGCACTTATTCCTATTATTTTCCCACTTTATATGGTCTGTGCCCCTTGATCTACCTCTATACAAATATGGGAGAAGCGTAAATATAATGGATGGCTAGTTTTTTTTTCACGTGGGTGGATATATTGTAGGGGTATCGAGATATTAATGTTGTCTAGCACTCAGGATGGAAGGAAACTCTAATGTGGTTTTCTTATATAATATAAGTTATATGATAGACAGTCTGGTGCTGGAGGTGCAGAATGAGAGTTGGTTGGTGAGGAAGCTCAGAGAAGGACAGCTGGTGGGTCGCCATGCTCGCTGGCGGGAGCGAGGGTCGCCAGGCAGGCGAGGAGAAGCGAAGGCAGCCAGGCAGCGGCGGAGGAGGAGGAGGTGTTGCTTGTTCAAGAAGAATGGTCAGAATGAATCTCAATGGAGAGACAGAGCTTATATACCCAGCAGCCGCTATGAGTCATGTTGGGAAAACCCAGAAAGTCGCCGGTGACTAGTTCCGTTGCTAAGATACGGTAACATCTGGTTGGTTGCTAGGGAAGGCGGTAGCAGCTTGGTGACGCCGCTACGCAGTTGTAGGCAGTTGTAGGGGAGACGTCCACTACAATACTCCCCCTTCCCTCCAGGCGGTGTAGGAGACTTGTTGTCTGTAGAGTTGCTTAGCACATGTGAGGCAGACCGGGCGGTGCATGCCTCATGTGAGACAACGGCGATGGCGTGATGAGCCGATCGCTGAAATACAACTGTCTAGATACACACTATCTGTGGGAGAAGGGAGAAAAAGGGTGTGTGGAGGCGATGAATGTTGTGCTTCCCTCACGACAGGTACAGGGTCGTCAGATGCGCCTGCTGGGGTGTGTGTGGGCCTGGGTCAGGAGCAGGGGCTGCGTCAGCAGAAGCGGATTAGGGCTCGTGACAGCAGCTGGGTCCACGACAGCAGCAGGGTGCAGGACATTAGCAGGGAGTACCTGAGGGAGAAAAGAGGGGGTGTGGAGGCGATGGATGTTGTGTGCTTCCCTCACGGCAGGTACTGCTGGGCCGGGGTCGGCGTCTGAGGCAGGACGGGTGTGCTGGGGTCGTCAGAATGTGGTGCGTGGGGCAGGAAGAGGAGCCGGTGTCTGCTTGAAGACTGGGAGCGTGATCAGTGTCTCCTCCATCCTGTGTGAGTGCTAATCTCCGGGAGTCACCATTTGTAGGGGTATCGAGATATTAATTTTGTCTAGCACTCAGGATGGAAGGAAACTCTAATGTGGTTTTCTTATAAAATATAAGTTATATGATAGACAGTCTGGTGCTGGAGGTGCAGAATGAGAATTGGTTGGTAAGGAAGCTCAGAGAAGGACAGCTGGTGGGTCGCCATGCTCGCTGGCGGGAGCGAGGGCCGCCAGGCAGGCGAGGAGAAGCGAAGGCAGCCAGGCAGCGGCGGAGGAGGAGGTGTTGCTTGTTCAAGAAGAATGGTCAGAATGAATCTCAATGGAGAGACAGAGCTTATATACCCAGCAGCCGCTATGAGTCATGTTGGGAAAACCCAGAAAGTCGCCGGTGACTAGTTCCGTTGCTAAGATACGGTAACATCTGGTTGGTTGCTAGGGAAGGCGGTAGCAGCTTGGTGACGCCGCTACGCAGTTGTAAGCAGTTGTAGGGGAGACGTCCACTACAATATAAGCTGCAGGCGACGACTTTAACATACTCAGTACAAGGTGTCAGCCCACCCTGACGAACGCATAAAACAGGCGATGATCACGAGAGGAAGTAATCTTACTCAAGCCTGAGATATATACTGTACACATCGGCTAATCTTGCTCTTACTGTTGTTGACGTTAACGCTAGCTTTGTGTTTCAGGATTTCGACGATGGTGTGTTAGTATAAAACGCAGGCGTCCACTCATCCCTTTCCAGCTGACCTTCCTACACGCCTTCTGCTGTGCCGAATTCTCCCCTCCATTCCCCGCTTGTGGATGCCTATAATCAAACCTTTCTCTGATGCTGCCTATCCTTGACGAAACATTTCTCGGGCTTTACGGCAGCTCCCAAGAATCTTCCCCTCTCTCCGCTGCATCTGGACAACAAGTCTCTACCTAACATGATACATCTTACAAGAAAACATTCCTCAGTTTCTACTCATAACCCACTTACGCCTGCTGCTTCTCCCCGAGGGACTTGTGGTCATGGTGCTGCTGAACGGGGTATATTCCTGATGGTCCGTCCCATCAGCTCATATGACAAGGATGCACTTTTACTGAAATTCCCAAAAGTGAATACTCAAGACACCAAGGAAACTATTTACTACCCCGGTGAATTATTTAAAATCTAAGACTTTAAATTGTAACAAATTATATCTTCAGTGAAATTGATTAATTGTTATTATTTAAACCTGTAAGAGAGCATCCCATGTCACGTTTTTTCCACTGAATGAGGTGATCATATGTTTGTAATAATAATTAAAGTTCATAATTCGACCTGGAGTGATTATTTTTCATAGTTGTAACAAGTTATCATTTCACGAGGCTGGTGATTAACTGAAAATACCCTAAGTCAACCTTCCAAGTTAAACTTCCGGAGGAGATACTGCTACTACTACGTTCAATGTTGATATCACTTTATTTAGCTGATAAAGTGCATTTGTTACTGTTATTTACACTAAAAGAGCAATCTGCCCTGAGTAAATTACACAAAAATGTCATTCCTCACTTCTACAGTCCTTTAATAAAATTACAGTTCTTAATGCCCACAACTTGTCTCTATCTTGTAAAACACTGATACTGTTCTCTACAAGACCATAATTAACCATGAAATTTGAGATAACAAAGGAATTATTTCCATGTATACGAAAAAGAACTGTTGCATCTTTGGTACTGTACCCCTTAAGTCCACATACCTGGGTCAGCAAAGTTGTATTATTAATTCTTGAAAATGTCTGAGAGCTTTTAACTTAATCACTATAAGAAAATTGCTTCGAACGTTTAATTACATTATTAGTAATCGATCTGCGTGTGCTTCTGTGACCTGGCAGACGCCACTCAGATTCAGCTTATTAAAATATATCATAGCTCCCAGTCAGTGCCCTGGGACGGTTTATGTGCAACATCTTCCACTGTAAAATAGCTTACTGTCATGTCCATCATGTTAAGTTATTTGTAGACAAAGACGGTGAAGTTTTTGTTATTCCGCCATGGTGTACGACTTCTTTCCCAGTGTTTGTATAGGCTGACGGGGATAAAGTTATCTCAACATTGGCTGGATATTTATTTATGTATTTGCATTATGTAATAGTACTGTATGCTGTATTGTGTCACAACCTTAAGATGTTTCCGAGACCAATAAAGATTTTACAGTTGTCCAGCAAAAGTTTTAGTTTCCATGATCGGAGCTTTTAGCACATCCTCGACAGTTTAGTTAATCTAATGTTTCCGTACTTTTTAATGGAGAGCTAGTGTCCCAAGTCTCAAAGATTGACCAAAACATTTCAAAACTACAAAAAAGAACGATCTGGTAAAAGACCATAATAATCTTGTAGAAAGACATCTTTAAGAAATTTACACTCATTATTATATCAATTTGATAACTTAAGTATTGAAGCCAAGACATTTCATACACACTGATAAGGCATATCAATTAACGCAGAATAAAATAGAGATAAATAATAATAATAATTCTACGGCGTCATCAGAAATAATATTGGATTATCCCTCTCATTTCCTTCCTCTCTACTAAGCGTTAAACAAAATTCATAATCATTGTTGTCAATTAAAGTCAAGGGAAACTGTGCCTACACTCTGTATTGTCGAATTAAATGCCGATCCTTTAGTTGTGATTGGTTGACTGAAATGTAAATAAACTCAGTTTACAGCCAATAGAGCATTTAGCTCCGCCCACTGATGACGTCAAAAGATTGGCACAACACTGCCTCTTATTATGGATTGCTATTGAATTTTTTTTAGTATATTCCATGATAATAGATGGCGTTGGTATTTTTTCCTAACCCTTACTTAATGAATAACTGTGACGGTTCTTAACAGATGGCGCGGTCACGCACTTTTTGTCATGACCGAACATATACTTAACAGGAACATGGCGAGGTTTGGAGTAGAAGTGAAGTAAGATGGACAAGTTCAAATAACAGTTGTGGAGAAGAAGTGTGTGTTGGTCTTCAGAGCTGAGTTGTTTAGAGGGATATTGAACAGTGTTAGGTATACTTATCTTTCCTAAATTTAATGCTAAGTACTTAGACTTGATAATAATGTAGGTTTATGCACCGACAAAAGTTGTATGAAGATTTAAAGAATCATCATTATTACGATACTGTGGTGAGAAATTTTTAAGTTGACATAGTGAAACTGACCTGACCTGATGTAATCCTACCTGGGTTGGTGTTGCCAATTTGTAGAAACTTTTAATACTTTTTTCACAAAGATTTAATTCATATTCATCAATTTTATAAATTCCTTCATTATGTCAAATATATAACTAACTGTCTAACTAGATACATTCATTTAGCACTATTAGCAACAAAAAAAGCATCTCCAATTGTGTGGAAAGACAAACAATTATAATATTATTGTGAAATCAAACCCACATTGAAAAACGTGTGCTACCATATATATATCGTGCGGTCTACATGACATTTAGCTAAATTAACATACGCTCGCTTAGGTCAAATTAGGTTACGTCAAGTTAGACTAAAAAATATCTGTAGATCGCTCACTGTAGTAGTACCGAAAGACGAGAACGACTGAAAAACAATTCGATGTTAATACATAATTAGTGTTATTTATATTGATTTATCATTTCCACCAGGTGGTCTTAACTACAGCCAGCGAAGAACGAAGAAAATGATTCCGGGACTTATAAACCTTCCATATCACGATAAATTAAAGAAACTAATCTTGCATTCCCTAGAAAGACGAAGAGTGCGGGGAGATATGATAGAAGCATTTAAGTGGGTGAAAGGAATCAATAAAGGGGATATAGATAAAGTTCTTATAATATCCGAGCAGGATAGGACCCGTAGCAAGGGATTTAAGTTGGATAAGTTTAGGTTTAGGAGGAAGATAGGAAGGAACTGGTTCAGAAATAGGGTGGTAGACGAGTGGAACAACCTTAGCAACTTTGTAGTAAGTGCTGGAACGCTGGAAAGTTTTAAAAGGGGGCTTGATAGATTCATGGATAATAGAGAGTGGTACTAACTCTCGACAGGAGCTGCCGTGCACAGGCCATCCAGCCTATTGCAGACTCCTTATTTTCTTATGTTCTTTGATTTGTGACTTTTACTCTGTTAGTACAGGAAGGAAACTGGAGTACTGGAGTACCCCGAGAAAACCTTACAGATGTTTGGGCAGGCCACAATGGATAACACCAAGCCCTTAATTCTCACATCTGACCAGGGCTAGGGATTGAACGCAGGGCCCAATCATTGCCATAATCATAAGCAACATAAGAAAATAAGGAGTCTGCAATAAGCCGGTTGGCCTGTACATGGCAGCTCCTGTCGAGAGTTACAACCACTCTCTATCGTCCATGAATCTATCTAGCCTCCTCTTAAAACTTTCCAGCATCCCAGCACTTACTACTAAGTTGCTAAGCTTGTTCCACTCGTCTACCACCCTATTTGTGAACCAGTTTCTTCCTATCTCCCTCCTAAACACTTCCTATCTCCCTCCTAAATCTTCCTATCTCCCTCCTTGATAGGCACCAGCACTATCACTATGTTTCATATTATTTCCGTTTTTTTAAGATACTGGATAAAGATTCTAACTTCTAGACATCATATGTAAGTCAGAATGTTATCAGGTTACGACAAACATATAATTTACAAACAATTTAACAGCAACGTGCTTGGCAAAAACAACAATTTCTCTGTAACCAAGGTAACAAGGGAAGAAGCCCACACTTTGATTATTAAATCGTCACTGAGGTCATAAGGGGTCTCGGGAGTGAGGTCACCTGGTCAGGTCAGTCTGTAGCCAGACACGAGTCGTAGAAGACCTTTAAAGTACAACTATGGTAGTGAGGAAAGCTGCACATTCCGCCCCCGCCATTAAAAAATTGGACCCTTTTTTGCTTGGCGTTTTTAAGAAACGCGTGGAAATGCATGGTATGTTAGCTTGTGTGTTTTTTATGTAATATTAACTACAGCCAGTGACGAGGTCTTGGTGACTTGTAGACATTTGATTCAGGACTACAGAAGTACATTGAAAGACTAGGCTATCTCTCATTTGTTGATGCAGCATTATATATAATATAGGCATCGAGTGATGGAGGAGGTGTAGGACAGTGTATATTTGGATATGAGATGAATTAAAAATGACAAGTTTCCAGTAATACGAGAATACAGCCGAACAAACCAAAGGGGGAAAAGTGTTTTCCTTTGTCTCCACATGCAGATTTTCTTCTGAGTTATACCGCCTTCTTTTATTTATATTTACTTATTAATAGACATATAATATGGGTCTATAGATCTGCACGAGATTACGCAGTTCAATTCTGGTCACCGTATTACAGAATGGTTATAGAATCCTTGGAAAGAATTCAGAGGAGAATTACAAGGCATTAGGAACCTTGAGTATAGAGACGTAGAGTGAGGGGCGATATGATAGAGGTGTGTAAATGGAAGTCAGGACTGAACAAGGGATATTACAAAGGTACTCAAACTATCCAACCAGGAGCGAACTCGTAAAAATGTTTTTAAATTAGACAAATTTAGATTTAGGCGCGAAATGAGTAAACATTGGTTTGGAATTTAGAGTAGTGGACGAGTGGAACAAGTTACCAAATATCATTAACTCGAATACGCTGGACAGCTTCAAACATTGGTTGGATGGATATATTGAGCGGTGAACGGAAATAAAGTCACATGACTTGTACACATTGACAACGCATTATATATATGATGGCATTGCACGTAGGTTAGGTTAAGTTAGGTTAGGTTGGGTTAGGTTTTTCCGTGCCTTTTTTTTCTGACTTTTTTCCTGGATTCATATGAGCAATAGGGGTTGGGGTGTAAATGGGACTGCCCAGTATGGGCCAATAGGCCCGCTGCAGTTTCCTCCATTCTTATGTTCTTATATTATTCACATACAATATATCAGTTTCGATTTCTTGTGAGAGACACTTGAACCAGCTTATACATTTTTTTTAAGTTCTACTGTCTATTTTCTTCTTAATCGAAAGTTCTTGATTTCATTGTCATTAGATTGACTTTTTAATATGATTTTAAACGATGGAGCTAATATCTGGTCATGATTGACTAAGTATATAAAATTAATTTAATGCTCCCAGACAGAGACAGATGCGTACGTGACCCTATGACGCCTGAGTTTGATAAATACTGCACTGCTGTGTTGTATAAAAGTAGGTTACGAAACTGGGAAAGTATATGTTTATGTGACCGTACAGTTTTCTGTTTTGTACATTATTTAATTCTAGTTTTGTGTATATGTGTTCTGTAATTTTTCTTTACATTATTACCGTGATTTATGTTTAGATCACCACACAGGATTTCAAATAAAATAGTGCGACTGCGAAGAATGGATACTGCACCACAACCATCATTAGATAACCAGAGATAAGGAATTTCAAGAATGTAAACCTTGGCACAACAGGCAGTCAACATTTCTCTGCCTCACCGGAGAACGTCTCCTCCCTAAATCTGTAAACTCCGTTGCTCTTCCAAATCCAACCGCAAATTTACAACAAAATCAATAATCACCACACCCTCTCCTGGCTACTGGCAGTAAGACTGTAAGTTACAAAGTTCTTGCACCACGTTAAAACTAAGATGAATTAATGATTATATTTCTATAAAGTACTTTTATGGCAAAGCTAGATTTAGATGACATTCGCAATAAAATGGATAGGTGAGTAGTGGTGTAATTTAAATATAGCGCCACAGTGAGAGAATGTGGCGTAGTTCATGACAAATCGATGACGTCACCAGCCAGCTGTTCATCAAAAACAACCCTTTGTCGCTGGTGTGAACAACCCACAGTTTGTTGCTTCTCCTGCACAACTTTTGAGGTAGGGCTTCTCTCGGGAGTGTCCATATTGACCAGTTGTGTCTATCATTCACGACTGGTAGAATTGTTATAGTTCTGAAGGTAAGTTTATATACAGTGACAAGAACAAGTTCACTTCAAGGGCGACTTCTTCCTTCACCTTATTGTGACTTGTGTTATTTACATCACCTCTACTCGTATATAACTCAGTCATTATCACTATAACTAATCATCATAGCTAATTGCACTCACAATATGTGGTTAAGAAAAACTTATTTATTAATGGTCTTGTGGACTTTATCGGAAAAATAAGGGTTGGGGTTATGACCTTGTTAATGGCGTGTTTTACGTTGGAGCTAACTGGATGTGATCACTGTGGCAATACTCACAATCTGTTGCTCATATCAGTTATTAGTAATATATCCATACTGGCTTTATCACATTCTTGGCATCTGGGTTAATGTATGATTTAAGCCCGACCAACAGAATTAATTTATTGACTTTGTAGAAACACCAAGGAAAATATAATACTATGAACATATGTTTGAAAGTTTGTGTAAATTGATTTTAACTAATACTGGCGAGTAGTTACAGTATAGTTAAGAAACGTTGGGTTATTTTTCCTGAGCCCAATGCACCATCTTCGGTGTTGCTTCACATTAGCCAGTGAACGTCGAGGAAGTTTAGAAATGCAACCGCTTCATCCAATCGGTGGTAATTTTCCAATATATTCTGCCTCAGTTACATCCAGCCTCTCCTGAACATGCAAACAGTTAAAATTTATGGTAATACTTTGGAATGTAGCCTCAGTTGTGGTTAGGTTAGGTCAGGTTCTGTGCTTTTTCATATTGATTTTCTTATTAAGTACCATGCAAATAACATCTCTAGAAATTTTGGTGCAGTTCCATATGTTCCTTCTGGTTTATCATATAATGTAGCAGTCCCTGGAGCGTTCGTGTGTATGGAACGGCCACTGGAAAACGTTCATGCGCTCTTGTCTAGGAAATGCTCCACACATACAGTATATAAACAGTCAGTATGGTTTCACCCAGAGAATGGAGTGTATCTATTTATAACAAGAACTTTTGTAGGTAAAAACGATATTATGAAAATTATTTTTTTTCACTATTTAAGGATATTGGTGATGGAAGAAAAAGTTATCTATAGATTTTTTTTTAGAGTTGCTGGTCAACTCATTGAATAGGCCAACTCTTCTTCCATGGTGTAGAAGGAATGCAGAATAAGATCTTTAAAATTACTACAGTACACTCCTAGTCAGCTTCTCTTTTTTCCCCCCAAGCCATCACCTGTGATGTAAATGTCTGTTTCCCATCTTTGCTTCTGTTATCTGACTGAAATCACCACTGAGCTTTGTCTGAACCACTGATTTTTTTTTTCTTTCAGTGCGAAGTGGTTTTTCTTGCTGAAATCTGACTTAATATAGTGACGGGTTTGTGAGTTCACAGAAACGTCAAAGGCGTGTACACTGTAGACTAATTAGCATTATAGATAGTAGCTGGTAAAAGAACTTGTATACAGGTGCTCCTCTACTTAAGAACGTTCAACTTAAAAACTTTCAGAGATGCAAACATTATCACTGAGGGGGGTTACCTGCTAGAACAGGTGTTTAATATGGATGAGACTGGATTATTTTGAAGAAAATTCCAGATAGAACAAACATGACCTAAGAGGAGAAGAGCGAGCCAGATTTTAAGGCTGTATTAAAGAGAAAAGCTGTATTAAATATCCATAATCTTTTCATTTTTTACAATATGTTTGGTATCTACAAGCATAAAGCTGGACTTACAAACAAGCCTCAGGAACGTAACTCGCTCGTAAGTAGAGGAGCACCTGTACATTAGATGGTTGTAAATGTGTGAACAACAAATGAAAACCTGGTGAAAAAAATTATTCCAAACACTATATGATATTCCTGTACCTCTTTCCATTAATTAATCGAGACCTTGTTCTATCATAATGACCATGCTTGTGCTGTACATTATTGTGATTACTTTTAATATGTCTGATAAAGCTACTGTAGTACTTGTAGCTTCCACCATCCATAATGTATTTTGGTATGTTGTCTGGAATGGTTCATGATAGTGTTATTCCCTCCTCAGGTAATGTGGTGATGCAACCAAGTGGGCTGGATGGAAGACTCCCAGTTTTCGTCTTTCCCCAGTCACTCACATTTTACGTCGCTGATCAGACCACTCACAAGCAAATCGTAACTTTATACAACCCATATGACTTCCGCATCTCATACTCGGGTATGTCTTCTGCTAAAGTTAACCTAGGGAATGATTGATCTTAGATAAAAACAGTAGTACAGTATGTCAGTCAGCAAAAAAAAATTCTCCAGGATTTTACTCATGTCAGTTAAGCACAGTCTCATCATCATCACACTTGGTGTGTTTTGAACCAGGTGATAACTAAAACAGAACAGCTCCAATGGATATCTTAGTTTGACTCACTGTGTTGTTATATTTCTCTTTTGATTGTATATTGTAATGTATATGGGATTTTTTTTTTTTTTTTGGAGAGTGATGCGAGGAATTATATAGACAACATGAAATTCAATATTCAACATTTGCTCTTATTACTTTTTTTCTCCTCAAACTTGGGTGTTGGCACTCATGCATGAAGTGTAGGTGACGCAGTATTGCTTTTTGGCATTACCGTATTTTAATTGTTGCCGTCTTTGTCAGCATTGAAAACAATGTTAAGATTTCTTTGTTAAAGTTTATGGCCGACTTTAGTTATACTGTACAGGTTCGGTTGAGCTTCATTGTCCTGTTAGATATGTGTTTCTTTTATTCCTATTTATTTTGTAAATAATAATTACAGTACATTATTATTATTTTTTTTCAGTGTTGTGTAACAACCCATCATGCTTCACTGTGGATAGCCCTAAAGGATTTGTTCGTGCAAAATGCTCTCTAGACATCATTATAACACGGATAAACCTCTCCTTGAGTGATGCAAGCGACAGAGACAGATTCCGCATCCAGATCTCTGAAGATGAAAAGAGACAGGTATGTTCAAAATGCCAATTTCGGTTTTGATATATGTACAGTACAGCACTGTATTAATAATGATTTAAATGTATCTAGAAGGATTGCAGTACAGTACTGTATGTTTAACTGTTCATGGAATAAATTAAGTCTTTTTTTTTGTTAAGATATCGTGTATGTAAATGTCAGCTAGTCTTTAAGTAACAAGCAAAACCACAATGCAGAGCCTTAAAAAATCTGGCTTTTTAGTGTCCAAAATGATTGAAGGAAAATCTTCCCGCCAAACAATTACAAAAATTATACCAATAGCTTTCTGTTATTCTTCTCTTTTCCCCCTTTTTTCTTCGTAGAATTTCTCCTGTCTTCCTTCTTAAGCCCTACAGTATTTCCTGTTCTATTTACTATATGGTGTTCCAAGTACTGAAAATATATAGGCGTGTCATAATGTTGCAACTTGTTATTGATGGCTTAATGAAGTTTTTGAGGAACATCTTGTTGATATCATTTCCCATTTTTCATCTTGTGACTTACAATGCTGGGTTATATCTCTCTGGTTGGCAAACTGGATATCCATTTAATTGTCTTGTTTGGAGCATAACTCTTACATCAATATAGATATTTTCATGAAACTTGATATCAATTATATATCACTAGAAAAACTGCTGGACACCAAATTCAAGACTGTCAACTCAAGATCACAGCTTTAGGCCAATTATGGCAGTGAGCAGATTACTGTGGGTACATTCACTCCAAAAAGTTTCTTTATATTTTTGTGTTTAACAATATGACTCGATTGATGGAAGATTTTCACAACCCTACCGAAACAACAGGAGTCGCAGTGTTCATTCTGAAATTCATCGGACTGCACCGTAAAGGTACTTTTTGGAGTGAGTGTACACTACTTTGGTACTCGTTTATACTATCTTATGAACTACAGTGGACACATTATCGGGGAGTATGATATCACATGCTCATAGTTTTTATCTTGAAGGTAGGTAGCAATCAGTGTACATTAGATACATCTTCTACACTACAAAAGCTCCAATATGCTGCACTACTTTTACAGTCAGCCAGTGTGTGTACCAGACATTAATTTGCATCACATCTTTACTATAGGTGTTAGGGAAGAAGGATGTTCCGGCCGTGCTGCTGAGTGGCACCCCGGAACCCCGTAGTGGGAGTGACAGCGACCAGTTCGAGTCCGTCCGTGCTCCCACTCACCATGGTGCAGTGGGAGGAGCTATAGGCAGTCAACTTCTCCCACAACAGCGTCAGCAGCCATTTGGAACATATCAAGGTAATGTGCAGTAATTTTTGCTCTCTCGTTCTATAGTTTGCATGCATGGTGTTTTGGGTCATATGTAAATGATAGTGTTGGCTTGGCCTTGATTATCCATGAACCACCATCATTGCCAGAGTTAAAGGGAATTCCATTACTGCACTGATGTTTTATTTTCACATTCACCTCAACACCATTTGGGGAAGATCCAATGTTTTTTTCAACCTCATCCTTATCTATTTATTGGCTAAACTGCATCATTGTTTTTTAAATCTTTGAAATCGTGACATTGCTAATTATACGACAAATATTTAACAGGGAGCACTGGTCCAAGCCTGGTGTTAGTTGCTGCTGCTGTGGTTTGCCTTGTGGGGTTACTCATGCCCACTGAGGGTGATCAGACCCCAACAAGAATCCCATCGTACCTACACCTAAACTCCAACATCAAAATTGTCATCGCCTATGTCCTAGGTAAGGTTATCTTTGTTGAAGCTTTTATTTCAAATTTATCTTTATATAGATACAATTATGACTGTCATTATTGATCTTACAAGGGTTTGATAAAAATTAATGTGATTTTATTATTAATTAGGAGATATTGTATAATATGGAATACAGGTAGCATACAGTATATACAATATATTTATTGGGTTTTTTCCTTTTGTGCAGGACTTCTCACATATGCTCTCCTAAGAGCTGGGTAAACTGGTGCAGTTTGAAGACTTGGAAGAAAGAAGGACTCATATTATGCAGTGGTTTCACTATACCATTATGTCACACTCATTGCCTTTGTGTAAGAGTCTCAAGAGAAGACCAATGATTATATTCATGTGATAAAGCTCCTTTCATGTATTCTTTTCTTTAGTCTCATCATGTGTGTAATTTGTAAGGGTAGCTTAGTAAAATTTTATATATTTATTAAGATGGAATCGAAAGTTATAAGTGACTTAAAAAGTTTGTGTTTCTTTTTAACAAATACTATTGATGGAAATGTAAATTACCTGTCTCAGTCACTTTGTGTATAAATGATTGTTTTGCTCAGATGTTTTAGAAGTATGCAGCATTGTCTGCATAGTTCTGCACTTATTTTTGTTACCCTTCACCACTAGGCATAATTAGTTTTATATCAGGGATTCATTGTTTTTATATTTGATTACATATTACTGTATGATAAAGAGATGAATTAGTTACAAACAGTTTAGTAAATGGGAAAATGTATTAGATTTAATAATACAGTAAATAAATATTCAAGTCACTGTCTTCCCGTGTTTAACTTGAGATATGTCATCTCATTTACAAAGATATTTACCCACTATTGCAAGTCTTAACCACAAGAGAATGTTGCCTATAAAGCATTTCCCCATTAACTTTAACTTGTTAGAATGTGGGTATGAGATAAGGTCAAAGGCTTACTTGAGTTGGTTGAGCATTTATTCTGGATATGCTCTCTTTTATATGCAAATTTCACCTGTCATTTTATACAAATAGTAGAACTTAATATTTCAGTATGTATACTAACATAAATATTGATCTATGGAAAGTTGCTGGCTGTAAGATTTATAAAAGGTAATTTTAAACATTTTGGAAGATGTATTACAAGGGTATATATGTAACACAAGTGAAATACTTCTTTTATTAGCTAATGTCATGCAATTAGTCTTAATAAGATAAATGCACAATAAATATATATATATATATATATACTTTAGATTTCACTATGTCCTTATGTAATACATGTATGATTCATTACTTTGGAAAATTGCCATCCATAGTACTTATGAGGCTAATTCACTACAATATAGTTTTACTAATACTTCCACGACAGGAAATCATGAAGACCATGAGAACTATGATAAATGCAGTCAACTACTAGAGCGGCATGATGAATTACATCCCACGGAATCACCTTCAAACATCATCAATAGTCTGTAGGACTTGCATGCAAATTTAGTATTACAGTACCATTTGCACAACTTTGCAAAATGAGACCAACTTTAATTGTTTCTTAATGAGAAATTCTCTGAGCTACAAAACACCTTTAATGACCTTGTGGACCACTGAATGTCACTAAAGACAGTTATGTACCAGGCATCTGCCAATTCAATTGCATTTACAAGTAAACACCATTAAGCCATCTTTGAGAGAATAATGCAGAGATCTAAGAACTCCTCTTATAGAAAGGGAAACCTCTCTGCACCAGGCAAAATGACATCTTATCGAGACTGAAACAACGGGCTCATCAAAGATTCAAGGCAGAAGCTCGATGAAAAATCAAGGACAAGCGAAGTTTATTCAATATCATTATAAAAACCTCTTAACAGCTCATACCTGTCTATTTCTCTTTAGCCTTTAACAAAGAGATGAACTTCAGTGAATAATAAATTTGACATTTATCCTATTACTCACTTGTCATTTAATAAAAAAATCAGGCTTTTTACCACTTGAAAGAAGACACTCATTGGCTGTATCTTACTGTTTACATGTTCTTGGGATGTGCGAGCTCTAAGGCGTATCTGAACATGTTCCAGTACTGGTCAAGAGAAGACTTAAAAGAGCATACAATTGGTGCTGTAGGGGTATCGAGATATTAATGTCGTCTAGCACTCGGGATGGAAGGAAACTCTAATGTAGTTTTCTTGTATAATATATAAGTTATATGATAGACAGTCTGGTGCTGGAGGTGCCGTGTGGTGGGGCTGCTCAGTAGAAGACGTTCGGTGAGTAGCGTGTTGAAGGAGGCAGATGTGCAGGAGCTTCGTTAGGGAAGATGTTGCCTGTTGCTGGCCTCCTGGTTGAATGAAATGTTAACAGCTAGGAGACGTTGCTTGTTCAGGAAAATGGGCAGAAATGAATCTCAATGGAGAGACAGAGCTTATATACACCCAGCAGCAGCCGCCAGTCCTCTATGAGTCATGTTGGGAAAACCCGAGAAGTAGCCGGTGACTAGTTCCGTTGCTAAGATACGGTAACATCTGGGGACAGCTCTCGCTTGGTTGCTAGGGGAGGCGGCACATTGGAATGCGATACGCAGTAGTAGGGGAGACGTCCACTACAGTGCTGTCAACTTCTGTAGACAGGTTATTCCAAAAGATCAATTCAATTTCAATTTCAATTGTTTATTCCTTGATAGAGGAAGCGGGATCCTAGTGCTGTCACTAGGTACCCCTGTACAATGACACCAGAACCATCTGGCAAGTGTGAAAAGTATATACAGTATAAATATTATAAAGGGGCTTACTAAAGCCTAAGGAAGGAAGGATGTTCCTTTAACACATAATCAATATTATTTACAAAATATCTGGCCAGTATTGGGAGGATCATCGTGTCTCCGTCAGGGGGTCGTGGAGTGGTGGTCCAGCAGGCGTCACGGAAGTGTTGTGTGTGGGGACATCTTAGGAGGTAGTGAATAAGGGTGCGGCTGTCGGGTCTTCTGCATAACGCACAAGAGCGTTGCTCAGGGGATGTGGGGATACCAATCTCCCAAGCAAAGTCATACCCAATGATGATACGGGCAGCAATCACGTCCCCCTTCCGCGACCCTTTCCCGGAGACGTACGAGAGGTCAGGAAGTTTACGGAGGACATCGTACCAGGTGGGCGGGGAGTCCAGGGGGATGGCTGCTTCCCGAGCTTCTCTCTGTTTGCGGCGGATTTGGGTCCTAATCTGTAAGAGTGTTCGAGGAACAACGTAGTCAGGTGTGGCCTTGTTGCAGCCAGTCTTGGCAAGGTCATCTGCTGCCTCATTCCCCAAGATACCGACATGACTAGGTATCCATAGGAATGTCACAGGACGGCCTTCATCCTGAAGTGTGGATGTTAACCCTCGTATTCGGAGGATGAGGTCCTTATTTTCCCCAGATCCAAATGCGATCCCGTCGAGAGCAGACCTGGAATCGCAGCAGACAAGCAAGGGGCAGAAACCATCTGCTTCTTCCTCAGCGAGAAGGGCAGCAAGGAGGGCTATTAGTTCAGCCTGAGTGGAAGATGCCCCGTCAGAAACTCTGAGAGACAGTTTGATAGGCTCAGGGGCATGAGGACGGGAGATGTAGACACCAGCCCCGGCCCTACCTGTAGCGGGGTTCCAAAAGATCTTTATGATAATGTTGGGGCTATATCTTCACTGTCTCTTGTCATCTTGAAGATCTTCCTGTATTAGCATTCCTCAATCCTTTCATATAGTTCTTTCTGGTTCTTATGTCTTGCCTTATTTTTATCGCTGCATCTCTCTCTCAACACATACACTCACGGTATAACCAATAACTATGGTAAAAATGGCATATAGCAGGAAGTAGTTTCTGAGTAACTAAAGAAATATGGAATCGGAAATTAGGGAGTTTGGTGTTCCCGGTATTCCAAGTTTGAACCCCAAAATGTGACTTCTGTGTTCTTGATCTCAATTTCCTATCCTTGTGATTGTTATTTATGAGGTTTCTAGCTAATCAAATAGTTCTGTTACTGTATCCTCTACAATAATAAGTACTGTATGTATATTAAATAATTAATCCTATAAGCAATTACACTTTCTCATATAACTTTTTTTGTAAGAGTCTTGTTAAACACCAATTTGCAATAAATTTACTAATATATAATGTAGTACTTATGTTATCGTGCAGTTGTTAGGGATTTGACATGTCATATTCCCTGGTCGCACACTAATCCTTCCCTAAACCCTCGGTATGCAAATTGATACAGCTTTACACCAGCTCTCCTCGTGTTCAGTTGTGTTCCAGAATTCCCTAGTACGAGTTGGGTGGGGCTGGGCCAGCTCACCACGTGCGTAAGCAAAGGGAAAAATTTCTGTAGGCAAGCAGGTGTCAGTTCGTCAAAGAACAAAGGTTTAATCAACCCGCTCTAGCTGCATTTCAGCTTTTGAGTATTTGTTATATTTTTTATGTCCAGATCAATAACACCTCCCTTCACAAGAATGGAAAGCTTAGGGCTTACCCAGGGAGGGGAGTATTAAGTCCCCTTTAGCCCTACGGCCGACCCGCCACCCGGTAACGTACATCACTTCACCTGCCTCACCTCACTTTTTACATTGTTGCTAATTTCATCCCACCAACCCACAGCTTTCCTTCTAGCTCACCGAGATGCTGACTTAACCACAGAGTAGGTATCTTTTCATTCTCAGTAAAATGCTTTAAATTCTTCTCAGTTGCTTTCCCATTAATAATGTTCTTGTTTTTGACGTCAGTGATATGTGACGTCTGCAATATTGTAATTCTTATTCTTTACCATGTGATTTTCTTTTTACTTCTGTTAATTTATATCGAGGTTTCATATTTTCAATAAACGTTTTCAAATTTAATATGATAACATTGCCATCTTTCTAAGCTTGATCATTTTCCTATTGGCCCTTATAAAGTATAGTACACCAGTACCGCTGTACACGGAAAATGTTGTCCATGATTCATTTCCATCCTCACAGTTCTCTTCTGATTTATCTTTATATAATGTCCATCAAGATTTTCCAGTCAATCTATGACCATTTATTTCTTAAGCAATTTTCATAAGTCTTTCTGCATCAGATAAACTATTTTCATTGAATTATAAGATTCCCTGAAAATTGTTTGGTCGCCGAAATATGAGTAGGAGTGAGAACCTGATGTTGTATCATAGGCCTCGGGGATATCTCCTTTATCTGGTATAGTCACTACAGGTTTCATGTTTGTCTGCAAAATTCATGTTGCACATGTAGCTTGCACATGCCATTTTCCCCGGAAGCTTTTTGAAAAACAAAAAACATACGAAATACCCAGTTTCATGTGCTATATTGTAGCCTGACCTTTATTATCATTGTACCAACAGCTCTGCTGTTTGTGGTTTTAATGGTGAATTATATTGTACAAGTGACATAGATTATTGATCGGTTCCCGTTTTCTAAGATGCCGTGCGAGAGGGGTGGGGCGCGCTCGTCCTGTAAAGGGAGCTCCGCTATCTACCCTTCACTCCCGAAACTTTTCGCTCAAACCATACCTTCAAGTGAATAACCTCTGCTATATTTAGCTTCATTTCATTATAAATAGCCCAAATTTACAAAATAAATGCAAAAGATAAAATTATGAGAGTCTCTGTTAAAAATTTACGCGGATTTAGGTCAGAAAATTGGGTACAGACATGGCATAAAGGTGAGATATTTAGAAACAGGTGAACCATTGAGGCGGCGGTGGTGGAGGAGCTGGGCCGCCAGACAGCGTCCTCGTACCATAACAAACATGGCGCTTGTCGACGGGGAAAGTTGACCGCAAATATGACCCAGTTCGGTGGATCTAGTACCCCTAGGCCCTTAGAATCCTGAGTCAATGTAGAGCAGCCTCGGATTTTCATGAAGGGAATGTGTGTTAAGACGTATCAGCCCGCGTCATCGCCCAGGAAGGAACTCTGACTAACTTGTGTGCGGGGGTTGACCTGAACTCGATATTTTCAGACACAAGTGAATTACCTTACGGGGGAGTGAATCTGAAAACTGTGACCATATCTCACTGGGACTATTACCTCTTCTGGTCATGACTGTGGGTAAGTGAAACTCCGGAGTACTTTAAAATTTATTGATGCACACCCAGACACTATTAGCATCTATAAAGGTCAAAGGGTTCTAGGGAAGGAAAATTTTACAACACATATTTATATCCTTTGTATTAATACCCTAAACGTCCTGTAATTAAACCATAAGGCTTATTATATACCGTAGAAACTAATTAAGATGGTCTTGGTAGAAGTGGTATTGATCTTTTCTCATGTGGGTGCTTCTTGAAGTTCAACAGGAAGTGAGAATGTCATCATTACTCACCTGTTGTCTTTGTCTTACCTTACTTGTTTCTGTGTTATGGTGTGTGCCTAGACAGCTATATACAGTGCCATATTTCATTCTACAGTCCTTTATTAATTTTATTGTAATTCATAGTTTTTTTAATGCAGTGTTTGGTTCCTTGGTGAGTTAAAATTGACTTTGATTGTTGAATATGAAACTGTAAATAACATAAAATTATTTGTATTTGATAATTAGATCATTGAGAAACTGTAATCAGAAGAAAGTTTAAGGTGAGCTTGTAACAGTATTTATCAGGCATAATGTCACGCCTCCTTTCTTTGCATATTGGAACATACAAAAGTATCAGATACTGTTACATTTCATAATATATTGATTGTAAAAAGAAACAAAATAATTTATCTAACCTAACCTCTAAGACTAGCTATCTTTGGTAATCTTGTAGTTAATAGGCAAAATTGTCTAACTAATAACATGAAAATTGGCATAGATCTTTGTTATATTATAGTATATAATTTCATTATGATATAAATAATATAAGCTAATGCTGGATTTTTATTTGTATTTTAATGGAAGTGTTGATATATACGAAATGTTATTTGTTTCATGGTGCACGCATATATAAGTAACAGCAGTTGCCCTGACGGCTCCCTGCATCCCAGAAAAGTATGTTTAGGATGAAAACACCGGAAGAACAAATGTAGGAAATTTGTAGTACCCCCAACTACTTCTTTCTATTCACGAGGTGATATCTAAAGTACAATATCACCCATTTATGAATAATAAAGTAAGTAATTTAGCAGTGTCCATGTGCTTACTGGACCTGAGAGAAATTATTGCTTGGAGGTAGATCTTCATGTATGCCCATACCAAAACGAGTGGGCTAAAACTGCTCACAAAACCATGAACCACATTGACCCCATGGGTAATGATGCTTATTATGGGAACCATACATAAATTACCCGGGCCACTCCCAAGGGGGAGGGGGGTTCTTGGGGTCTGGAACCCCTTTTTCACCAGAAAATTTTCAATACTTTTTCTTTAATGCAGTGTTGTACTCAGGCATTTTTGTATAATAAAAATTAAATGCTCATAATATTGGTCAGATTTAAAACAAAAATTCTGGAGGGCTTACAGCACCCCCTGAACCCCCCCCCCCCAACTGGGATGGGCTCACTGTGCTCCCCATGTTCCCCCACCCACAACTTCTTGACCCCCCCCCCTTTGATATTCCTGGATCCACCCCTGACTCCATCAGTCATAAATAAGGAATTGATCCTGAAATCTCATTTTATTATACACACATAAATTGAGTTATTCAGTCCTTCTGACCTCCCTTAGGGTGCTGAGGTGATGGGATTGAGCCAGCTTCCCATTTTATAGACCTTAGACTGTAGAGTGTATACAGTACACAGTAGTGTGATGGAAGGCTCTTACCTTTTGGTCTCTGGCTGCTTCATTAGTCTCACCTCTTTTTTTTTTAAGGGGCTGTGTCCAAGTTGGGAGATATACTAGCTACTTCAAATTCTTGGGTTTTTACTTTAAATTTACAGGACTTTATTTCTAAAATACAGTTTCATTTGATGCGCAAATCCAAATTTCAAGGAAGTTTAACATTTCAAGATTGCTATTTAAGATTAATACAGTACTAAGTTTATGGTGGGAAATCATCTTTGCAACTTAAGATGTATTATATTGTCAAATACTGTACAGGGTATTTAATTAATTGTATTTTAATATTCTTTTTCAGGTGGTACAGCTAGGTGATGGTTGGTGTTAGAGCAAGGGGGGCGGTATGGGCCCTCGGGGGGGCCTATGCTCCTCCAGTTCCATCTGGCCATAATACGCTCTTAGATATAATCGGAGGGCAACCTGGGGGACCTCCACTAGATGGTGCCTCGCTCACAGTGGCCCTGGATGTGGTGCAGGCATGGGCTGTGCTCATCACTGTTGGCTTCACCCTGGTGCTCTTCATCTTCCTGGCCTTTTGTGTGTGTGCCAAGAAAGATGATGGGTAAGTACTGGTGTCTCATAGATATTTTCCTTCATTACTGAAACTGTGGACTGTCAACATTTATTAACTAAGCCTACTGCCCAGTGGTCTGTTCTTCATTTGGGACTAAATGTTCAAAATGACGAATAAAAATCAAAGTCAAAATTACTGGTGAACTAGTACAGTACATATTTGATGTACAGTTGTTAAAAATTTACATTCAGAAATAAAGATATAATGTCAATTTCTGTACTGTACATAGATACAGAGTACAGTACTATTACTGTACTGTACAGATATGTACTTGAACTTTTGACAGTGCAAAATAAACAGTAAAATTGACAAATGAATAATGTTGAAAATAAGCTAATAAGAATGTGTTTTGGCAGATCAACTGGCAATTGGGTGTTACAGTATACAGTACAGTATAGCAGGCCCTGCTGGCATTGTATCATTAAGCCAGCATAAAATAATGATTGATTAATGAGTTAGTATTATTGTAACTTTTCTTTATATACAGTGTACAGTACATGTTCTTCTTTTCCATTTCAGAAATTTTGAAATGTGAAAATATTTTGAGCAAGAATAGATTGAAAAAAGGGTACTATATTACAGTACAGTAATTGGCATTCATAACTTATAAGAATGTTAGCCATATCTGTGTCTTTACTTAAAATGTGATTTGTATTGAAAACAGAGAAGATCAGGGGTATCTTTTCTAAATGACCTCTTATCAAATGTGGATTACATTTTTGCTCTTCCACAGTGAGACCTCTATTTAACTGACTATGTTGCAAAGTGTAGTCCGTTAAATTAATGTTCATTAGATATCAAACCTCCAGTTAACGGACTATGCCCATTAGATTGATGTCCGTTAAATGGAGGTTATACTGTATGACATAGTAATGTGGTTGGACAGGCTGGTTACCCCAGTTGAGGGTGTGAGGTGCCCTAGTGAATATTCTAGATACAATGAGAAGAGAAATTTTCACTGTTCTCTTGTATTATTTGGGACCATGATGTTACTTACTGGTACCTTAGAAATTAAACATATAAAAACCCCAAATGAGCTTCACTCACTATACACAATGTTACTAATGTAGTTTATCTCTTATTCTAAAATTCTCAGGTATGATGAATTTGAGATGTCACACGGTATTACGACGGTCAAGGTTTGTCACGATGGGGGCGAGAACGGTCTGGGCAGCTACCCCCGAATCAATGGGTCCAACACGCCTAGAGCGAGTGACGAAGCCTCTGAGGCCTCCAGCAGGTAATATATCTTTCATCACCATACACAATTACCCATCATTCATGACCTATACTGTATTTATATAAGTCCTTTTGATCTTCAGTGTTCAAAGTAACAATGCTTCACCACCAGCTGCCAAATCCTCCTATGATTATTTTTGCACCAATCTCTTGAAAGACCCTTAATCATGATTGGAAAATGTCCTGTAAATACAGTACTGCACTCCTGTTATTACTGTGCTCCTGCCTAGGTGTATGCATTCTTTGTTTTATTTGGACAGGTCCCCATATTTTTGTGTTCATGTGATTGTTCATTGAATTGTGTTCTATGTTGATTAGTTTATTTATGTCTGTAATACAGTATTTAGTTAAATTAGGTTTAAGTTGAGTACATATTTTTTGAGAAGTTGGTCTGGGAATGCCTCTCCCAATTTTAACATTAAAGTCTATGGGAAAAACTTGTCAAATTTATATAACATCTCTGTTAAAGCCTTTCAACATCATTTTTTCTCATCATTTATCTACCCTTTTACTGTCATGCATCTAAGATTTACCTTGTATTTTCAGGTGCACGTTGAAGCGTGAACTTCCTGCAATTCCTCTCAGTGCTCAGCCTGATCCGTCAGCCATTGAGTGTAATGTAGAGCGTACACAATCCCAGCACTCGTCAGATCTCTATGCTGCTGTAGGAGAAGCCAATGACGGTTAGTACAGTAGCTTCAGACTGTATTTTACTTTATACAGTAGTGATGAATAAGGCTGTGGAACACTAGCCCTCAAGTGACAACAATATCTTATGTGAGGATAGAATGTCTTTACAGTTCAAGAATAATAAATATAATTTTTTATCATTTGTGTTGCTAATTATACAGTGTAAGGAATTTCTAATCATCTGTGTTTGATTTCTAGCAGGTGGGAGTGGCATAGGAAAGGTGATTGGAGGGGTCCAGGTCCTTCCTGCTGGTGCTATAGGACTAGATGGTCGTGCAGCTATCATTCGGGACCCAACTCTTACATCACCAACCGACCCATCCGCTCCATCACATATAGACGGTGGTGCGGGATCAGGGACTGCAGCTCACCCTTATGCCAAAGTGAAGAAGAATCATCCATATGCTCATGTCAAACTACCAAAGAGTAAGCAGGAGGATAATATATTATTCATGTCTTACGAGTTAATAAATGTGCGTGTGTGTGTGTGGCAGCATACAATATATAAAATTCATCACCACCAGTTTACAGCCATTTTCTATGCTTTGCTACTCACAGTCACAAATTACAATATTATATTTTGTGAAAGAATATCTTGAGATTTTAGTAGTTTGTCTCTTGGAGAAATAAATACGTTTTTAACTTTCAGAGGATCACCCATATGCAAAGGTGGTCCGTGATGATTCTGAGGATCCAGAGACTGATACCGATAATTATGATGACCCAAAAGCCATTACCAAAGACAAGAGGTAAGTGATATTGGTCGTGATTGTTTTATTTATGGTAAGAAAGAATGTGATTATTATTACCGTATGCAATTGTTCCAAATCATTCTGAAGGTTTTATTGGCTCTGATGACCATGAAACACCCAAAGTACTGGAAGAATCTTGGATATATTGCAGTACTGTATACATCTCCAGCAAATAGTCTAGAAACCTGGTATTGAGAAAAAACATACCTATTCCCTCAGCGATTAAGATGTATGGAACAATTTATAGGATATCAGAATTAAGAAATGATTGGATGACTTGTCCCAAACAGTTCAGGATGGGATTCGGAGGGAGGGTACGAGCCAGCCCCTCCAGTACCAGAAAAGCGGTTTGATCTGGAAGAGGAGACAGCCACTGGTCCTCCTGACGGTGGGCTCATGACGACTTCGGTCACCTCGGCCTCCTCGGGTAAGGGCCCATCCTCTCCACGATCGCCTCACCTCAACACTCGATCGTCTATGGTTGGTTCTGCGCCCTCGCCAACTTCCCCACATAGCATAGGAGCAGTATCAGACCGGCCACCCTCTACAGAAATTCAAGCAGCTTTGGCAATCTCAGGACGAACACCAGCCAATGAAGAGATGCCATACATGACGCCTCCATTACATCATGTAAGTAGCAAACTATGAATAGTTATATGTGTATAATCACTCCCAAAAGTTGATATGGATGTTGATATTACAAGCTTTGCTTTTAAAATGCTTAGAAATACGTAACAGTAATACGCCATGTAAACACTGATATACAATATTTTTTTATTCTTTAACAAGCAGCCTGAAGAAGTAAGTGGTGCTTGTAGTGCTCAGTTTGACCATTTCATTTGGAGTTTTACATATGACAAAATCTTGTACTATTATCAAGTAATCAGGAACTTGAAGTATCCATTTATCACTCTTGAACTCATGAAATATACTGTATTTGTTTTGTTAAGGTGTTTCAAATACTTTTATTTAATCATAAATGTATATTGAAATGCAGGCAGGCATAGAGATACCATCTCAACAGAACTTCAGCGGTGACTCTCAGGATTCACGAGGGTACACAAGCATCAGCGTACGGGAGCCCTTGTCAGCCATCAAAGCACAAACACAGGGCTCGGCGGCTCCTCAGTCATCTGCCACCACTCAACCTCTTGAAGGAGAAGGGTACATATACCATAGTTTATCTTACAGAGACGTCCAAAAAGAATTGATTTTTTTATAGTTTATGCTTTCTTTAGCTTTTGTGAATCATAAATAACATGCCTAAGTTTTTTTTGTTTTTATTTTTTGATAAAGTATGGGCAAAATAACGTGATTATTCTCCTTTGAGTATATATTTTTTGTGGTTGGATTATATACATACTGTACTACACACAAGTTTTAGTCCTGGGTAGAACAACTCCAACATTTACATTTTTCAGTCAATATTTTTGTTATGTTCTCCAACAAATTAATATTTTAAATTTATTCAGTAATGTGTGTCAGTTACACAGCAGCCTTTATCATTTTTATGTTTGTTTTGTTTGTATTCTTACAATTTATTTAATTCAGAGGACACTTAAAAAAACTTAATATAATAATCAATAACAATTCTTTGCCCGATCTGAAAAAACTGTTGACTTGCCCATACATCTTTTGATGGGTAATGCCTTTAATGTCATTATGTTAATGCTTATAGATGAGCTTTGTGCAGATTGGTTATTGATGAAACGTTTAGTGTTGTTTATTTTGTAGACTAACATCTAAAAACAAGATACAGTACATGCTATTAATCAGTAAAAATGAACGTGTAAGATAAGCACTTGTGGCCAGTGATAATCTCTGTGGCCGTTGCACAGGTACTATATGACAGTATCAGATGACTCAGCTGATGAGATGTATGCCTGTATTTATGAGGGCACAAGAGGGGTTGGCAGTGAAACATATGCACAAATTGAACCACGTTCAACTCCACCACCACCTCCACCCCCCATGCCTAGCCCTCCACATGCTCCGTCGACCCCGTCGCCCCTCTCTACGCGAGGTGGATCACAGCCCCCTCCTGCACCACCGAGTGTAGACAGCCTACGCCATGTTGTACATTCCAGACAAGGTGAGATCCGTCTGTCACAAGTTGGAAATACCATAGACTGGATAAAAGTTCCACTTGAGTTTAGTAATTGCACTTCAGCATGTTCTTTTTTAAGTGATCCTCTTTTAAAGGCTGTACAATTAAGGACTTTGTATCTGTCTCTCGCTCCTTAGTGAGTTTCAAGTTTTCTTGGCTAACTCTTTCCAAACATTAAAAAAAATTACACATTTTTATAAAAAACTGCAGTTGACTGATTCTTGCAATATTAGTCTCTTGATTTTGAAAGACATGAAGACATTAATAATTTTTTCTTAGTAAGATGAACCACATGGCATAATCAGTCATAACTGCTTAGTCATAATAATTTTAGAGAAGTTTGCAGCATTTCTGTTGATAAATTACAGACTGAGGTACTGACAAGTGTTGTCACAAGTGTCACTTCAAGACAAGCACTGTCATATAAGAAGTCTAACACTAGAAAACCTTCTCTACCCCATCCGTTTGCTGATGTATGCAGTTAGAACCAACATGAACTGCATGTTTGTATGTAGCTTTATCATACTGCTTCAGTGCAGAATATTTGTAAGAGTTGTAGCTGCACTTAGATCTGACCATTTTTAAATTTAACGTTGCAGAGACAAGTTGATTTTTTTTTATTGAAACTGCTGTGTTGCTTTTCCTTTTATGTTTATTATTTAAGGTAACATAATTGGTCATTTAGGACTTTATGCTGCAATAATTCATTACTTTATTGTGAAGTTCATCTCTTATTCAGAATTAGACAGGAGTGCTAATGAAATAGTTCAGACTTCTGGTCAAGTTAAGTTCAGATTTCTAGATCAGACTTAAAATAGGAACATATGAAGCTTGATTTGCAGTTAGGTGAATGCACTTGATCATCATTTTATAGGAAGTATTGTTCAAAAGACAACTTAGAATGATGTAGCTGAAATTTATCACTCAGTATAGGGAAATGAGTTACAGTGCTGGATCATTTAATTAATTTTAGAGAATTTAAAATGGAATATGAAGAGTTATACAGGAATTGGGAGTCATAAGGCGTGTTTAGGATGGGTTTCTGAGACAAAGAACATGGGGGATAATGGTGTACTCTTGTCTGTCCTGTGCTACCTTTCGTTTGACCATTAAATTGAGAAATGTTTTTAGATCGAAGTGAAATATTGTACAAATTACATATAATGAAGATCATTATTATCTAGGCCATGTTTACAATAATAATTGTTGTTTCCCATCATTATCTGCCAGAGTTATTCCCCTTATTGAAGAGAAAGTTTGACAGAGCTGTACATCACCTTAACTCAATATCACAGATGTACTTATTTATGTATTCGTTATAGTAAATGCATCACTCTTCAAACCCTCTTGCCATCAGTCATCTGCTTAGAATTATCCTTGTTGCGTCAATGTCTCTGTCACCATCTTCACCCAGAATACAATCTTGGTGTTTTATGGCGTGAGTGACTGAGCTGTTGTAATATCATCATCATCATCACAATTTGTGGCCATTTTCCATGCTTGTGTGGGTTACAGGTTATAACAGGCAGTGTAGGTACTTCACGCACATACAGTACTGACAGATTTATTATTAGTTTTTGGGAGATTTCATTGTTTTTGAAGTACAGTACTAATGAGAATGCAGAATGCTGAATGTTACTGTAATAAGAGAGCTTGAGTCATAGCCAGATATGTTTTAGAGAATATGTAGTGGGTGATCTCTGTTGTGCTTGTTATTGGGCTGGTGTGTAGTATTATCTTGTCTGGCCACATACACTACACGTATTAACATTATTAGACAAAGGGTGGATTATGGTTTCAGTTTGACTTGGAATATCCTGTACGTACATGTTGTAGCCAGCAAATGACCTCACTTTCATTTTTTTTTTTACCTTTTCAAGATTCCTAAACAATGTAAACTTGAAAGTGTCATCACAGCATGAATATTGATTTTTTTTTATTTGAATTATTTTCTTATTTATTTTTTTCTGGAAAGCATTGCATGGAGCAGAGTTCAATAGCTGACATACAGTGAAAGTGGAGGTAAAGCAGTATTTGTGTGGGAGTTTTGTATCCCTGTTAGTATTAGCTCACTGTAGATTATGAGCTTATTGCAAATTCCTCTCCCTGGACCCAGCACCTAACTTGCATCATGCCAGCAAGTGAAAACAAGAGCTGTCAGAAATGTGAAACTAAATTCTCCATATCGGCAGCTCATTCCTCAACCCCTTCCTTCCTTGCCGTACAGCATGCATATATAACCCCATTTAACAAGTAATATTGCCTCTTTATATGCTTATGCCATCTTGGTCCATGCAGTAGGAAAGGGGTTAAGGACAGTGAAAGATTAGAGGTTGACAAAAAGTATTAATTATGGATGAATTTGAAGCTCAGACTAAAAGTTCACTTCACTAATTACTGCAATTCTTGGAGGTGATAGAATGTACTCTTCTATCACTCTTTCAAACCTCTCCCCACCATAATGCAGAAATGAGAGCATATATAAACTCTCTCTTTTCATTCACTTTCATTTGTTCCACCCTTTTTGCTGTTATAATGTATACTGTACTGGATAGATAGATGTCTGTATATATAAAAATTTACCATTCTTTTTTTTTCCCATTTTTTCGAGAAACCTAAATGATCAGTTTGTTTTAGGATGTGCAATAAACAAGAACCTAAAAATCAGTAGGAATAAAGTTTGATCATGATCCTTCACACTGATCAGACTAATTTTAGGTTCACATTCATTGCACCTCCTAAAACATAGTACTGTACAGGTAATCATTTAGGGTTCTTGAATAAAAACTTTGACCCTGTATATAATAGTACTGTAATGTGGTAGTAATGGAGTTTGTTATAGCAACAGCTGTATAATGGTCACACACACACACACACACACACACACACACACATCATTATGTCTAAATCAAATGTAAGTCTGTATATTTTCAGCCACCGGCTGCAACTCTATTAATAAACCGTTTATTATTACAGTCAGCCCTCACTTTACGTGGTTAATGTAACCCACAGGGTGCCGCGGAAAGTGAGGAACTCGTAAAGTGAATAACATAACATATGGGATTAATTGAAATAGAGTCCAGGCCGACCCCCAAACTCCACTTTTTGATGACACACAACTACGTATGTTGTAGTAAAAATATTATCTTAACTTTATGATGGTATGCACACACAATTAATAATTAAGAGAAATATCAATAATATTAGGTTTTTTAACACTTACATTAGTAGAAAAGATGGCTGGGCACACGGGGATGGGCGGTTGGTTCCGAGGCAGAGGGCAGATTATTGGCCCTCACCTGTATCACTTGTATCAATTGTATCACTATCCACCACAGAGGCTTGCAGGGCCTCTTTGTCAAACCCCCCAAAGTTCATATAAGTCCATATCCTCACTATAATTATCACTATCACTGACTTGGGCCGGCTGTAGTGGGTGGCGGGTGAAGAACTGGTAATGTTTTGATGACTGGGCGACCTTGTGCGCACCATGTTTGCGCCGCTTACACAACATGGCGGATGGCGGGAGATTTGCATCCAAAAATGGCGTGGCTCGCCAGCCGCTCTCCGCGTAATGGGGTACACGCACCGCGGAATGTGAGCATGATAGGTTCCGGCAGGGCACCGCTTAAACGTGGAAACGCGGAATGTGGGACCGCGTAAAGTGAGGGTTGACTGTATTATTATTATTATTATTATTATTATTATTATTATTATTATTGCACACACACACACACACACACACACACACACATATGAAGGCAGAATGGAGAAACGTAACCAACTCATACCTCAGCTGTGTGTTGAATTGGATGAAAACAAACAAAATAAGATGTTGGTGCATATAAGGGATACTATACTATATAGTAGTAGCCTGATTTACGCAGTCAATTGAACCCATGGGGTACCGCGGAAAGTGAACAACAGAACATATGGGATTAATTCCAATAGAGGCTGACCCGACCCCCAAACTCCACTTTTTCCGATACAATACCTATGTTGTAGTAAAAATAACATCTTAATTTTATGATGGTATGCTCACACAATTAATATTTAAGAGAAATACAGTCGCCAGGTTAATGTCCATTCAAATAATGGACTCAAATCCCCCCCCCCTCTTCCCAGCTCACTGGCCCCTACCTCTCTGAGAAATGATTGGGTGAAAACACTAGATTTTAACGTTTAGTAATAAATAATACCTCAGACTAAAGTTAGGATAATATAATTGACATTTCTGGATTCCTTGCAGGTCAGGGAATATTTTGAATGTAAACTTCATATATTTTGCACAAAAGATAAAATACTTGCTTTGTGTAAACCAAATTATTACATTAGATCTAAAATTTGTATGTCTAATGTAAAATCCATGATGTTTATATTCAAAATGATCATCATATTGTAAGAATTCCAGCAATGTAAATTATATTCTGGCTGGGTAATTTGTATGAATTTTATGAGCTAAATAAAAAAAAAAATTATACTTCACCGCGTATATGAGTAGATGCACCGCGGAAAGTGAAAGTCCGGTTTTGGCAAGGTACCGCGTAAATGCGTAAATGAGAAATCGCGGAAAGTGAAAGTGAAACCGTGTAAAGCGGGGTAACACTGTACTAGCTCCATTGTTACCATAGCATATATAGCAGAGATATGTTAAACAGTACATACACACGTCCTTCTACACTGTCTTAAATATTATATCCCATTCAAGGTACATTTATCCTTTTATACATTGGTTATTAGTGGAAAATAAACCCAGCATGTATCCTTGAAGAAGAAACTCACACCTTGGCCTTGGGTAATGAGAATGTTTTGTTTTTATTTGTGTGTATTTATTGATTGAATTTATTTTTCAAAGATTTCATAGTGGAGTTTTTTGTTTTGATTTGTTGCTTTGATTTGACACAAGAGGAGTACAGTGTAGGAGTAGTAGTAGTGGTTGTTGTAGATGATATCATTGGTGGTTGTGTGGTAGTAGTGGTGGTTCTATCACTGGTGGTAGTGTAGTGGTAATGGTAGTAGAGTACTGTACTGTCCTGTAGTAGTAATATTTGTGGTTATTTTATCATTGACAATAGTAGTAGTAACAGTTGTAGTTGTAATTGTTATATAATTGATAGCAATAATTGTAATAGATTTTTAAAAGATCTTCAGAACAGCTTGGTATACATCATCTAAAAATTTACTTGTACTATAATATTTTTAACAACTTTTGGCATATGAAGTATTGTATATTAAATCTTCATTTTTGAGGTGTCACAAAGTACAGAGTTTCGTTAATCTCTCAGAAACTGTTCTGTTAATTTTTTCAAGTCTCAGAAATAAGTGATTTTAGAGCCGAGTGGATTATCATCATTGTGTATACTGTATGTGATTATGATTTTTTTTTATGGTAATACCTGTACAGTGGTAAGATTAGTTTGATTTGAACAATGATAACTCACTTTTTACATTGTTCCAGAATTCTAGGATACGGTTTTTAAGGTATATTTTTATTACTAAATATAACACCAATGTTACTTGGTTTTTAGTGTCTGGTTTTTGTAAAACCACCGGCAGGCAGTACCAGTCACCATAACATCTTTCCATAGTTATATCACCATAGATGGTGAATATAAATGTGATTTCATCATCATTGATCATACAGTTTCTTACTTGGAATTTGAAAACAAGGGAGAGTGTGTGTTGATACTATAGTACTGTATTTTGCAAATTTGCATTGACTTGGACTTTGCAGAAGGCTTTTGCAATTGCTCATTTATTACTGCACTGACACAATACATAATCCTGCCTTGGGTAGTCTTGAGGACAATTTAATTTTACTTGACTATTAGTCAGGACTCTCAGGGAGGCCCAGGTTACAGGCTTGTTCTGAGTAGATCTGTGATGTCTGTCTTTCTTGGGGCTGTGGATGCCAGTGAATCATATACAGTATTCCATAAGGTTTAAGGATAACACTGAAGAATTGTGCACTCCAGTACAGGAGAGTTAAAGGGTCATTATTCTCCCTGCATCCAACCCTTCCTTCTCACAGTTGGGTTTACTCTTCTGTAAGAATAACAGTAAATGGTATCTTAACAACTGTCCAGGGGTGGTGAAGGGTTTTCCTGCATAAATGATATACCTCAAGAGAGTGTTATCTTAACTTATTCACCACTTCTCTATAGGATGGACCAAAGAAGTAATTTATAATTCTGTTCGGACAGACTTACTTCCACTTTTATTTCAAATCTTAATTGGAAAATTTTCACTCACAAATATCTGCATTGACTGTATTGTACTGTCATTAAAGAAACTGATTGGATTCAACAGTCTTTCAAACTTGTCATAGAGAGCCTTGTCTTCCCAGAATCTACTTCCAGCCACTTATTCATGTGCTTCATTTGATTCCATAAATTCAGCAAACACTTTCCTCTGTTCTCAAACTTTCCCAAACCTGATAAGTGTTATGATCTCATCTATGCATTTTCTTCTTTCCCTGAAGCCTCTTTCTTCCTGATAGAGAGAAATTCTGTGGTCTATTTCACAGAGTCAGTGAAACCTCAACATTACGTATTATCATTTATACCTAGCGAGCTTTTCCCCCTGTATCTTGTTCTCATATTATTGACATTCAAATATCTAGCATAATATTCATATCCGGGTAACTGACACATCATCTTTTTGTTCATATTCCTAACATACTTACTTATTAGACACTTTTATGTACACCTTTGCAGCATCTTCGAGTAGTGCTGCCAGTACTGTAATGGGAAGCCCCGGAGCGGAGAAGAGAGGGACTCGCTCTCCTCTGCCACCTCTACCTCAGGGAGATACGAGCCTCTACTCAGGCCCTTCCCCCCAGCCCCCACATTCCCCACCACGAAGTGTTCCTCCCATTGAAAGACCCACACAGCGAGCCCTTGAAGAAATGTATGCAAAGGTATGTAAAACTTGATCTTATTTGATTTTCTTCCAAGTAAAAAAATAAAAGAAGTGCAGTATAAATATAGTGTCTTTCATAACCAATTTATATATGGAATTCAAGATTCAACAAACATTATACAGTATTAAGTAACATTATAGAGTTATATGTATACTGTTATAACTTTTCATTCATAGTATCATCACATCACAATATTGATTTATAGATCTTAGTTTTCTTGGAATTACATGGGAGACGATCTCCTTCTTGAATTATATAAACATTAAATGTGGTATAGAATTTGAAAGGAAGAGAGTCACATTCTAAATAGCCTGAATGTGTAAGAACTTGTTCCTGTCTACACTAATTTGGAGTAAAAATTGATTGGTAAGTTGGTAGGTAGAATGACAGGATTTGAGTGTTTATTTATAAGTACAAGTTTAGAGAATGAGTGAGATGTATTTAACCAGATCAGATTACATGTGTTAATTATTTGTATTTTTGTAGGTGATGAAGAAACAGCGTCCAGGACACTCTCGTGGGGACAGCTCAGGCGGAGGAGGCGAGAGTGACGCTGGCAGTGTGTCGTCCTCACGCAGAGGATCCGTGGACATTGGTGGCGCTCGCTGGGGATCTCATGCTTCATCTCCTCCAACAACCCCTCGTCAGTCTGTAGACCTAGGGTCGATGACACGTAGCCTTGTTGAAACTCGCAATCATGAAGTTGTTACGTCAATAAGTCGAGCCAAGTCGTATGAGAAGGCTGGTGTGTGGGGAAGTACTACACAGCATCCCCAACCATCATTACCTAATCCCAACTATGAAACCATTCCCCAACTGTCTAACAACTTCTACTCAGGGGGCTCTTCTGATCCTGGATACGAAACGGTGAAGAATTCTGAACCTCCGTATGCAAGTGTTGAAAGGCCCGAGGAGAATTACCCTGGATATGAAACAGTGAAACAGACGTCAGACATAGAATCAGAACCTGGATATGAAACTCTGAAACACAGGGAATACGAACCGGGGTATGAAACAGTCACTGGTGAAGCTAAGTTGGAAAGCTCTGAACCAGGATATGAAACAGTGGCTCATGAGAAGCACCAAGAGGAATATGAACCCGGATATGAAACGGTAACACATCACAGAGCAGAAACATCTGACCCGGGATACGAGATTGTCAAGGGAAAGGCCACAAGTGAATTTGGAGACCCCGGCTACGAAGAGCTACAAGGTGCTATCCATCACACACGGACCACTTCAGAACACGACCCGAATTATGAGCAACTGAAGTTCACGAGTCGGCGATCAAGCGACGGGGATGCAGAACCCGGCTATGAAGTGGTTAAGAAGGTTGAAACCGAGAGTACGTACGAATTTGTACGCGACTACGACACCCAGGAGAATTATCCCCCCTATGAGAAGATCGATAAACCTGGAAAGGAAATCAGTCAACGGGAAACACCTCTGTATGCAAGTGTACAGAAGGGAAGCCTAAGTCAGGAGAAGAAATTGGCTAAGGATAAAAGCCCCGAAGAGGATAAAAGTCCTAAAGCCACTGGCCTCCTAGAGAGTGACATAGATACTTGTCCACCTCCTCCTATAAGTCCTAAGGATTTCAAAGAAGGTCCAACAAAGGATGACTTCAATAAAGATAAGGACTTGACATTACCCTTGAAGAAACTTGAAGAAGACCAGCAGGTATTGCCACCAGAAAAGATATCTCCTCCTCTTGTGGCAGTGAAAAGTCCGGATAAGGGATCTCCGTCATCTGTGAAAAGTCTAAATGGATCTCCACCAATGGTAAAGAGTCCGAAAGGATCTCCACCACTAGTGAAGAGTCCAAAAGGATCTCCGCCACTAGTGAAGAGTCCAAAAGGATCCCCACCTGCCACAAAGAGTCCAAAAGGATCTCCGCCACTAGTGAAGAGTCCAAAAGGATCTCCGCCACTAGTAAAGATTGCTAAAGGATCTCCACCACAAGTGACAAGTCCAAAAGGATCTCCGCCACTGATGAAGAGCCCAAAAGGGTCTCCACCACTGATGAAGAGCCCTGACAAAGGATCTCCTCCAGCAACAAAGAGTCCAAAAGGATCTCCGCCACTGATGAAGAGCCCAAAAGGGTCTCCACCACTGATGAAGAGCCCAAAAGGTTCTCCACCAATGATGAAGAGCCCAAAAGGGTCTCCACCAATGATGAAGAGCCCAAAAGGGTCTCCACCAATGATGAAGAGTCCAGATAAAGGTTCTCCTCCATTAATGAAGAGTCCACAAGGATCTCCACGAATGATGCAGAGTCCAGATAAAGAAACCCCACCAATGATGAAGAGTCCAAGTCCAGATATGGACACACCACCTATGATGAAAAGCCCAAAAGGATCTCCACCATTGATGAAGAGTCCAAAAGGTTCTCCACCTATGGCTAAAAGTCCAGATAGAGAAACTCCACCTCTGACTAGGAGCCCGAGTCCAGACATTGACTTTTCACCTACAATAAGAGATTTGGGTAGAGGGTCACCAGTTATGACTCCTGTGTCAAGTACTGCAGATGCACCACTGCCACCACCACCGCCACCACCACCACCAGCCAGTGAGGAAACAGAAACGTCTACATTAATAGCTAGTTTAGATACAGAACCCCTCCAGCAAGATGAGAGTCCTGATAAAGAGGTTTCTCCAACTGAGGTTAGTCATCCTGCTCAAGAAACACCTCCACCACCACCACCACCTCATTTGGAAAGTTCAGTCATAGAACAGCCTACAGCACTCCAAGAAAGTCAACACCCACAACCTTCCCAACAAGTAACACAAAGCCCAGAAAAGGAGGTAGTACCATCGCTGGGAGGAACTGTAGTGGAACAGTTTGTCCCGATGGTTAATGAGAATCGTAATGAAATTATTCCATGTTTATCAGGGGTTGAAATAATGCCAATTCAGCCACCCACTCCTGAGAGAGAGGCATCCCCAGTGGCATTCAGTAGTTTAGGTTCAGAAGACCTTCCTGCACCTTTATCTATAGATGATACAGAAAACCAACCACAGGAGACAATAAATCCTCTGTATATGATTGACAAGTTGGATAATGATGTTCAGCATGAAAGTGCACTCCCAGCACAGGAGGAGGTTATCGCTGAAGGTCAAGACACTCCGTCTGGTATGTGTGGTGAGTTACCTCCACCACCCCCGCTTGTAATGGATGAGGATGACAGTGCTTTTACAAATGACCTTCCTCCACCAATACCAGAGTCTTCACCTCTCATGCAACGAACTAGTACCCTCTGTGAAGATACTCCACCCCCACCATTAGTACCTCCATCAGATGTTGAGGGTTTAGATGAATTGTTAAACCTTGCAAATATGGGGTCATCTTCATCAGGGAGCACTGCAGGCCAGCCAGGCAGTATTCATGGGAGTTCTGAAAAAGACTCAGATTCCCCTCAAGAGTCTGATGTCATCCAAATGGAAGGAACTATGACAGCAGATGAACTACCTCCCCCACCACCTCTGTCAGAACCATCAGAACCAGGAACAGAACATGATTCTGATGAGGAACTTGACAACTCTGTCTCTTCAGGTTATGAATGTGGATTTACTGCTGGCGGCATAACTGTCACTGTCAATCCTATGGTTGATGTGGAAGAAACCCCCGAGTCTCCTGTTCATGTGGCACCGCCACCACCTAGTGAACCCAGCCAGGCTGCTCCACCTTCACCTATTGTCAGTGCTGCCATTGGTATCAGCAGTGGAGGCAGTCAGAGCAGCAGTAGTGGGTCAGGAAGTCAGGACACGGGAAGTGGTAGTGTAGAGAGTGTAGTGACAGTGGAGTGTGCTGTTGCAGCAGATGCAGGCACTCAAGGGAGGCAGCAGTCCTCCGATTCATCATCAAGCCCAGAAAGTCGTCACCTTGATCCACACGAACAGATCACAGAGGTTTGAAACAAGCCTCTTGCAGATGTATGAGCACACTTACAGTGAAGAATATTATGTGCTCACTTTACTGGATAGAAAGCCAGTCTGAATGTAATCAGCACTATTGCTCAGGTTATCCTCAGCATAAACATTACACTTCCTACCAGACTTGGGGCAGCTCATTTATCTTGCACCAGCTGTAGCTTGTATCTACTGTACTGTAGCAGGATTGCAGCTAAGCATTAGTCATATTTTTCACCGATAGCAATTTTGTGGACCATCTTACTTAGGCAACGCTACTGTATGTGAAATACTCTTGTAGCTGTTGGCTGTGAAATAATGATATTATAGTTCCCTTCTAGGTAGGAAAAATTCTCCTCAATAGATTAAGTAGTATTTATGGTGTCAATGATGAGGGTATTTTAACAATGGCGTTGTTTTTACAAAGCCACGTAAAAATTCCTCGCTTATTAACTACACTTTCCATCTTTTGACTAAGTGATAGGCAGAAAACATTTCAACTGCTGCCAGTTTTTACACAATTGTCATGTGATTATTTTTAATTTCTCAACAAGGCAAGCGTGTGTCCAGTGAATGGAAGGCATGGGTTTGTTATTCCATTTTTACCCTGTTTTACATGGGTGTGTTTGTAACTCTAGATGATCTGCTAGAGGAATTGTTTTTTGTAGGTGTGGCTCATCGTAGCATTACTCTGGTGTGTGTGTGTGTTAGCTGACAACAAGGGACTGTGGCATCATGTGCAATGATCTTCAAGAAAACTTTTGATTGTACTCATTATCATCAAGTTGGTGCACAAAGAATGGTGTGGTGAGAAAGAAAGTTATTATTATGCAGTTTGTTGCCAAAGTTCCTGTTTTTGCGACAACAGGCAGGTTGAAGCTTTATAAACTTTACCGTGTGTTCAGTACATGTAATGGTAAGTTCTATTTATTGTACTGTAAGGTTGTAGCCAGTAGACAGTTTGCACATGTTTGCTGGATCATTCTCAGACTCAAGTTTTCCTCATCCCATTGGAATATGTGGCAGTAGCTGATTGTTCCAGTGCAGCAGCATGTTTAGCAGTTTTTATAGATACATGATAAAAGTGGCCATTTAAATTAGTAGAATTCATTGTGTGAAACCTCATACAAATTCAATTCTTGAAATACAAGCTCAATTGCATCTTACACGTATTAGAATAACACTCAGAGGTGTTTGTTTGACTTATTTACTTTACTTTATTATAAGAACTTTAATAAAACTGTAGTGTGTTTTTTTAGTGGTACACATAATACAATTTTGCTGTCACTAGTTGATTCTTGATTAAGAGCACCCGAGTGTCTGTGTGCCCTCAAGTTGTCTAACAAGTCAAAGGTTAGATCCATTGCTTTTTAACAACCATTTCCTTTTAAGTAATTCAAAACTTTCTTTGGATATGCAGTCTGCCGTCAGTGCTATTACTTAAGATTATTTTGGAGAAGCCTTTTTGATGTTGGCCTGAATGTGAGCATTGCACTCTGGTTTGGGATGTGAGCATGATAAAGTTGTTCTGAACATGATGAACTAGTTTTGAACATGATGAACTAATTCTGAACATGATGAACCAGTTTTGAACATGATGAACTAATTCTGAACACTGTATCCTACTTCAATAATAATCCAGTCATTCTTTTTTCTTTCTTTTTTTTTGTGAAGATGCAAACCAAGCTCTGTTTATGATTGTCAGATGTGTGCCTGACTTACGGAGAAAACAAATACACTAGACTGTCAGTGGTATGCCTGGCCTCTACAGAAATAAGGAGAATTACAGTGTAACTTATTTCACATTATGTACAAGTAACGTAATAGACGAATGTGAATGTATTAACCCCGATGTGAATGTGAAACTAATGTTGTGGTCATGAATTATAAAACATATCTGTTTTTTAAAATGCAGTGAAACCTCTTCTGTCTATCTTGATCAAAAGGTAGACAGACATTTAGAAACCTAGTACAGTAAATTGCATTATTAAGTTGGTATACATGTCACCTGCTGGCCAAAATTTTATACCCCCCCTCCCCCTCTCCTTTATGCAATAACTTAAGTAAAGAAGTGGTAAAGGATGTAATGCAACACATCCTTCTGCCTGGTATCATTGAGGTATAATGTTTACGTATGATTATCACACTTTGTTGTGGCCTAAATCATTTATGAAATTTTGTTTTGGAAATTTTTTCTTCTAAAGTGTTTTTTGCATTCTCTGATGATGCCTTCACATAAACATTTTATAGAGGTATTTTTTATTAATTCAACTTAAAATAAAACAATTACCAAATACACTGCCAAATTTTCAAGTGTTTTAGCTGTAGCTTTTATACGAAATTATACGGTTTAAATTTTAAGCTATAACAGTCATTTGAAAGTATCGCCCGGAGGTTCAGGCCGAGTAGTGTCCAGAGAATAGCAACAACGAAGGTCAAAGACTGCCAAGGTTTCACTGTGTTGAGAGTAGCATTTAGTATGTGTGCCAAAAATTAAGTGTTGTGACATGTAAACAAATTGATGTCCAGCAGTTTTAGGGTATTACTGTCTTCTTATCACATGTATGTGAATTGTGTATCCTTAAAATTAGGCTTTCCAAAATTGTGTACGTCCAAATCGGCTAATGAATGAAGTGAGTTGAATGGAGGTTTGTATTATGCAGTAGCTGCATTCATATGTTATTTATTAACAATTGGTTGGCCCATATGATGGCTTCTTTTCATTTTGTGTGCAAAACACACATTTTGTTATAGTACCTGAATGTATGATTTTCCCATTAATGGAGAACAATTGCATTTTATTTATTAAGAAACTAGACTAAATTTTTATTTTATGAACTAAGTATATATATATATATATATATATATATATATATATATATATATATATATATATATATATATATATATATATATATATATATATATATATATATATATATATATATATATATATATATATAATTTTTCTGTGGGGTTCAGTAATTTAGTAATGTGATTGTTCTCTATACATTTATCGTGAGCTTTATATATGGTAATATTAATAGTGCAGGCTTGAGTAGTCATGAAGGCTGAGCTGCTTCCATAACTTTTCTGTCATCTTCCATTTTGTTACTTTCATCATTTTTATTATTACTGAATTTTGTGGACGAGCCAAAGCTTCACTTGAATAGATTTTTGTGATAGGTTGTTGTACTTATTATTGTTATTTATTTAGCATTTGATCCTCCCATAGTTTTATTGCTGGTGCTAAACACTGTTTGTAGTGCATGTAAATAGCTCAACATTTGTACAGTATTGATTTCTGTTTCCAGTTTCATGGTTTCACACTTGTTTCTCCACCCTCCCTCCACATTTTTTATTTTAGAATACTACATCATCTAATTTTTTGACAGTTTCCAAAATACTGTACCTCTTTCTTCTTTAATGACCTCTGATTTTAGTCAACTTAATGTTGTACACTTGATTATTAACATTGAAATTTTTCACTAATATCTTGACATTTATTAATTGTACAGGTACTTAATATTTGACTCATATACTATACATATAAATGTAGTATACACAATTAATAACATAAATATTTGGTTTACATTGCTTTGGGTACAAGTAAGATGAGTTATAACAGTAGATGCACACCAGTTGTCAGCACATATCACACTGACCCACTGGCTGTATCAGTGACCTACACTAAACACATTGTAGGAAATATGATATGTTCTCTCAAATAATTGCTAAAGCATCTTCCTGTAACTTTTCTAGAGCTAATTTTATTTTTTTTTATGAATTTAAATTAGCTTTTATGGTAGCTACGCTTATCACAAGATTTTAATAATTTTTCTTTTTCTTAAATATACCAGTACATTACTGTATACTAGTCTCACCATAGGTCACCTGTTTTCACGAAGCCCTGTGTGGCCGTTGAATACTGTTATAATTCTCTCCTACAATATTCTGAGCTAACAATTATCTACATACAGATTACATATACTACAGTGTCTTGAAAACCTGTCCCTTTCATTTATGCATACCTTTCACCATAGGAAAGTGGTGGTGTCACAAATAGTCAGTTTAACTTTAAAATTTTTGTGTAATATATATATATATATATATAGAGCCTACAGTAGAAGGTAGTCTGACAATCCTACGTACATCTCACGCGTGTACCAAAAATCAATATCTCAACTATTTCAGTGTTATGTTAGTAATGTTATGTTAAGTAATGGTAACGAGTCAAAGGGGGATTGATATTTTAAAGAGTTTGCCACACGTATACCATATCCTTACAGTCAAATTGTGTTTACCCATACTTTTAAACTTGTCTATCTTTTCCCAAGGGTAAATTAAAAAGAGCTGCAAATTGTTTCAATTTCAAATTTTGTGGCCGACTTCTTTGTATATTATACGCCCCCGACTTCTCAACAAATCTTACACTAGGTCAAGTCTAGGCATTTAGAAAGTTACTCGATTGTACTTCTTGGACAGATCAAATGTTCTGTGTTCATGGTCAAAACAAAAAAGTCAAAGAAAACATTTTAGTGCATTGTGTTGATGGAAGTGTCATGTAACTCAAGAAACTCTCGGGTAAACATACAGCTGTGGTGCAAGTCATTTTGTTATTGCAGAACCTAGTTTGGTTGTTTTATGTATGTATTGTTTTTATTATTAAAGAGTGCTCCTCGCTAGAACTATTGCCTCTTTGAGTGGTTGTGTTAGGTGATTCTAAAATTACTACGTATATACTGCTCTTTATGCTAGGTTTATTATGCAGATATGGATTGAATTCACAATTGGTGGATATACTGTAGATAAGTCTCTGGAAAGCACTGAATTTATTTTATTTTTCTTCTTATTTTGTATAGTTAGGCCCTTCCTAAACAGTATTTCATTAATGGTGCATACAGTCTGGTGAGAAAATGAAATACCCCTGTAATACATTAATACTGTACAAACTACTACAGTAAGTATACAGTATTCAGTATATGGAGAACTGTTGTGTAAAGCCTTGATTAGGGTGACTCCTTAGTTTTTTTGTTTTGTTTTTTTACAGGTTTATAGAGAGTTGTCATTCAAGGTTTACTTTAGACATTAATATCACAAAAATGTTTCCTACACGGCACCTAGTACAGTAGTGGAGAATACTGATACGATTAAAAGCGGTAACAATTTGACTACACTGTGTACGGTGAATATTTATGCTTAATTGTTATTTGTTCAGGCTGCTGGTATCAGTCACTCATTGTAGGCTCTCGTGGTTACTGTACTTTCACATAATGCTCTTAATATACAGTGTATTTGTTTAAACAAATTTAATGTTGTTCATTTAGAACCTTGTTTGTTTATTGTATGGTATTTCAATGTGTTTAGGAGAAAAATAATTCTTGTTTGTAAATCCTGTTTTGTTTTATTTTTATTTTTTGTTTCCTCAGAGTAGAGAAGCAAAGTCATTAATTAACATTAAAAAAGCAACATGTAACTTGCTGTCAGTAATTTTTTGTATTGTAACTTTTCAAAATTGTTGAAAGTCTTTGTTGTTTCCATATGTAGTGTAGTAGTGTCGTGCGACAACTAACTACTGTGGCATCAGTGGTTTAGCTGGTGGTGTTGTACACATGCATCATGGAAACATCCCATCACGATGCTCTTCACCATCATTCACAGCTCAGCTTTTTGTGTCCGTTCACCCATACTTCTGTGTGGTGCTCGGTGGTGGTGATGCTACCCCTGCCTGTGTGGGCTAGTGAACGCACAGGGAAGTTGTGGAGTTTTACTGTACACGAAGGTGGGTCGATCATTTTGACCATCAAGTCACACAGTTTTTATGGTCTGTAAGCTACTTACACAGTAAACAATGATTATAGAGATCTATGTGTTTTATTACTCTATCATAGAATTCCTTATAAATGTTGAAAGGGGAAGGAACATGGTAGTGGAGGACGTGCAGAGAGAAGTACAGTATAGTGGTAATGGCGAGGTAAGAGCTACGATGAATATATTTATAGTACATTAATTTTGTGTACGAGCAGTCAGTGAATACCTAGAATAATGCAACTACAGGGTGCTAAATTGAATTTAACCTGAATGAAATTCCTCGAGGTACAGTACTTGAAGCTGTCTGTGATATATACTTACACAAGTTACACCCCATTAACCTGTGGGGTATGGGATGTTTGGTTCGAGACTCAAAAATCACGACGTGCTCTCTGTATACATGTTGTATTGGATGTACAATGCAGCTTGGTGCTGGGAAGTGGCAGCGTGGTTACAAGCGTGATGTAGAGAGAGCTGGTTGGTGAGGGTGCTCAGAGGAGGACAGCTTGTGGGTCGCCATGTTCGCCGGCGAAAGCGAGGGCCGCCAGGCAAGAGCGGAGGAGGAGGTGGTGTAGCTTGCTGCGGCTGTAGCTAGAAGAAGAGAGAGCTGGTTGGTGAGGGTGCTCAGAAGAGGACAGCTTGTGGGTCGCCATGCTCGCCGGCGGGAGCGAGGGCCGCCAGGCAGCGGCGGAGGAGGAGGAGGTGTTGCTTGCTGGTTGGTGTAGGTAGAAAAGAGGCAGGTCGCCACGAGGTCAGGTCTTAAACAGCGGAGGTAGGCGTGGCTTAGTAGTTGACCTCCGTCATGTAAGACGGCGCTGGTTGACCTAGACCACGAGGCATACACTGAGGAATTCGCGGGATCGGCTACTCAGCGACAAACAGCGTTTGTAGGGGAGAAATCCACTACAATACTCCCTCCTTCCCTCCAGGCGGTGTAGGAGACTTGTTGTCTGCAGGGTTGCATGGCACATGTGAGGCAGAATGGGTGGTGCATGCCACACGTGAGCCATAACGGCGATGGCGTGGATGAGCCGGCCGCTAGAGGAGACAACTGTCTAGATACACAATATCTGTGGGAGTAGAGAGGGAGAAAAAAGGTGTGTGGAGGCGATGAATGTTGTGCTTCCCTCAAGGCAGGTACAGAGTCGTCAGATGCGCCTGCTGGTGTGTGTGGGCCTGGGTCAGGAGCAGGGGCTGCGTCAGCAAAAGCGGATGAGGGCTCGTGACAGCAGCTGGGTCCACGACAGTAGCAGGGTGCAGGACGGTAGCAGGGAGTACCTGAGGGAGAAAAGAGGGGTGTGTGGGTCCGCACTCAGGCGCATGGGCCGCGTTGGGAGCAGGGGCTGCATTAGGAGGAGCGGCAGGGTGTACTGCTGGGCCGGGGGCGGCGTCTGAGGCAGTATGGGTGATGCACCTGCTGGGGTATGTGGGCCTGGGTCAGGAGCAGGGGCTGCGTCAGCAGAAGCGGATGAGGGCTCGTGACAGCAGCTGGGTCCACGACAGCAGCAGGGTGCAGGACAGTAACAGGGAGTACCTGAGGGAGAAAAGAGGGGTGTGTGGGTCCGCACTCAGCCGCATGGGCCGCGTCGGGAGCAGGGGCTGCATCAAGAGGCGCGGCAGGGGGTACTGCTGGGCCGGGGGCGGCGTCTGAGGCAGGACGGGTGTGCTGGGGTCGGTAGGACGTGGTGCTTGGGGCAGGAAGAGGAGCTGGTGTCTGCTTAGAGAAGCAGTGCTGCTCTAGGGTGTCTAACCTGCGGTTTAGAGACAGTAGCTGTAGAGCCGATGAGAGCTGCTTCTGGGTGGATAAGCCAGTCTTCCATGTTGCTTGAAGACTGGGAGCGTGATATGTTTCTCCTCCATCCTGTGTGAGTGCGAATCTCCGGGGTCACCATTTGTGGGGTATGGGATGTTTGGTTCGAGACTCAAAAATCACGATGTGCTCTCTGTATACATGTTGTATTGGATGTACAATGCAGTTTGGTGCTGAGAAGTGGCAACGTGGTTACAAGCGTGATGTAGAGAGAGCTGGTTGGTGAGGGTGCTCAGAGGAGGACAGCTTGTGGGTTGCCATGCTCGCCGGCCGGAGCGAGGGCCGCCAGGCAGGCGGAGGAGGAGGAGGTGTTGCTTGCTGGTTGGTGTAGGTAGAAAAGAGGCAGGTCACCACGAGGTCAGGTCTTAAATAGCGGAGGTAGGCGTGGCTTAGTAGTTGACCTCCGTCATGTAAGGCAGCGCTGGTTGACCTAGACTACGAGGCATACACTGGGGAATTCGCGGCTACTCAGCGACAAACAGCGTTTGTAGAGGAGAAATCCACTACAAACCCCTCACCTCGCATGACTACATAATTGTTCATTTTGTCACTAAGAGAAACAAGTGCACATTTAATTGTATAAAGAACGTGTATTATGTCAACTGGAAAAGGTTAAATTAAGCACGGATATAAGTTATGTAATGCTCACGAATATTGCCAGTTAGGGAGGGGTGTAGTGACCTGCTCTCCCTACAACTCCTCTCCCGTCTTCGCCCAGTCTATCAGCAGCGGCGCTTACCTCACACCTCTGAACCTAATGGGCAAAATCGTATAAATACCCCAGCCTCACCGTGAAGGTCATTCTACTCAACGCTCTCAATTGGACAGGACTTCCTCTCAGCAAGCTCCTCACCACACAGCAACTCCCTAGTTACTAGTACATAGAATACATGTAGAGTTAAGCTATTCTGAGTTTCCTTTCTCACCTCCTCCCTGAGTGCGAGATCTCCCTTATTGTGCGTGTGTATGTGGCTATAACAAGAGAAATTAGACAAGTGGTCACATACACTAACACTACAGGGTGAATAATCTTTATGGGAAGGCGACTAATATGCTATAAAAGATGATAGAAATATATTAATCACTTGAAGATTTATCCCCTGCTTATTTCACCAGAAGATTAACCAACTCTAACGTTAATCTAACTTAACTTCTTTTGTCTGACTGATTAAATGTAACTAATCTTATCAGAGGGATTTACTTATTGCGCACACTGACTGAAGTGAAGCCATGCCTTTATCAGGACATTACGTCATGCTTCCCCTTCCTGCTTGTAATGCAAATCACTTAGCGAATATTTATTTATCGAGGTGACAAAATTTTAGTATTTTTTAGGGTTCACTGAAGCACTATACGTTCTATACCATGTTTATATTTCGTGTCATTTCTCTTCCATATATAATTAAAAAATTAGTTTTATTTAAAATGTTATTATCGTTTCAGGTGAGGAAACCCGCACGTGATAACTGTGATGACGTCATGAGGTGCCCTCGAGGGTGTGGGCGATGAAAGTCACGTTAATGTCAAGGGAAATTTATTCGAATTGTACGTATTATGTAAAATATTAATGTATTTTACAAGATATATAAATGTATAAAGTTGATGGTTAATAAGCCGAAACGTAGTCTAATCATTCAATATAAAAACAACAAAAAAGTCTTATTTTGGAAAATGAAAAAAAAATAACGATTTGAATCATTAGTGGGGAAAGTTTATGAAAGAAAATAAATTGATGCAGAACTGAAGATTTAAATATACTAACACAAACGCATATATATATATATTTTAACCTTTAGACTCAAATGGACAGATTGCGTAAGAGGCCTTGAGCAGCTGCCTCAGTATGGGGTTCAGTGGCGAGACGAGGGCCGAGCGGGGAGGTTGTGTTAAAGATCATCCACCAGAGATAACGTAAGTTGTACTGAATTTTGTATTTATACTAGTCGAGGCCAGTAACAACTTCATTTTATTTCAGTAAGACCCAAAAATTAAATGAAGGTGGGGGTGTTTCTAGGAACTGAAGGCTAAATAACATTAGTTTACTAGGTCTAGGGCGCCCCAGCACTAGGAAACAGTAGTCCCTGGTGAGTGTTTTACTGTCTTATAAACCCCAATATCATGTGAAATTCTGATCATAAGAATAAATTGGCTCCTTCCTGCTGAATCATTTATATGTTGAAGGTGCCCGACAGTACCTATCAAATACTGTATAAGTGAGTTAAGAGTAAAATTACAATTTCAACATTTTTATTTACCCGAAATCTAGGTTTTCCCATGATGTTTGGAGTGATTCATTCTGTTGGAAGCTAATCTAACCTAACCAATGCCCTGCCTCCAAATGTTGACAAACATTTCCCATTGACTGACTGAGCCTGAATGCTAAGTGATGTTATGTTTCTTACCCAGCAACCAACCTCTCTCTACAGTAGTACATACGAACTTTCTTAATTAAACCTAAAATAATTGCAATAATACTTTCATCCTAATTAGGTTGGTTTCTTAGTTCAACTTGTCTACGATAATTTATAATATAATTTACGTAATGGATATTATGCAGTGACCGACCAAGTTCCTACTAGTGCTATTTTACCATGAGTGTGCACTTATTGGCAAAGTACTTTCTGTTTAATAATGGCGGGGGGGTCTGCCTCCCGGCTTGGAAGTTAGGTAAAGTTAGGTAGGTTTGGTTGGTTGGTTAGGTCAGGTTCTAGTAAATGTCACGTCTTTTATAATTATATGAACATCGGTGGAAAAAATGAACAAAATCGGACAACTAATGTTTATAGCTACACAACGATCGACTCAGCGAAATAAATACCAAATGCCGCCAGAGTCACGGTCAAATATAGTTCTCACGTTGTTCGCCGGTAATGGACGATTGGTTAATCAGAGCGTACTCAGGGTAAAATAGCGTTAATAGGAACTTAGCCAGTCACGGCAAAATATCCACTGCCATGCGGTTATAAGAAATAGTGTCAAAGCTAAAGGTTCATAAGAGTCCCGGCCCTGACATGATGCATCCCAAAGTGCTAAGAGAGTTGTGCAACAAGCTTGCTGTGCCTCCTGAAGATCCTGTTCTGTAGCTGCCTGGATGAGCAAAATGTCCTCAGTGATTGAAAAATGGCTTACGAGTCCTATTTTCAAGAAGGACGAGCGTCACTCCACGAATAATTATAGACCAGTGAGTCTGACCAGCATAGTATGTAAAGTACTTTATAAGAGATGCCGTGATGGAACATCTACTACAAAACAGCCTTGAAAAGGATTGCCAACACAGTTTTATGCTGGGAGGCTCCTGCTTAACACAATTACTCAAGGTACTGGATGTTTGGACCCAAATTCTGGAACAGGGTGGCAATATAGACAATATATACCTAGATTTTTCCAAATCTTCTGATAGCATACTCCGTGAAAAGCTGAAAATTAAACTGGAAGGGTATAGGGTTTCAGGGAAGTGTCCTAGCATGGATCGGAGATTTTCTGTATGATTTTAAGCAGTGCAAAAAGGACCTGAGTGTGTTTGTTGGCAATGAACTGAAGTTCTTGGGCCATTGTGAGAAGTTGAATCAAGCAACTAAAGTATTAGGTCTTATAAGAAGGTCGTTCAGATATCTAAACAATCCGTCCCTTGTAATGATCTTCAAGAGTGAGGTGTTTCCCTGCCTGGAGTGCCTTGTCTGGCCCCTGAGATATGCTAGGGACTGTTAGTTGATTGAAAATGTCCAAAAGAGGGCCACCTGACTGGCGCCTGCAGTTTGGCACCTCAATTAGGGGCGACCTAATTGAGGTGTATAAGCATCTCAAGGGGCACTACCCAGTCGAGTGGCGGACGCTCACCCCACAAAGGGTCACAGCTCAAGGCTGAAGAAGCTGCAGGTCCAGAAAACTGTGAGGGCAAACTTTTTCGGAGTGAGAGTTGTGAACTTTTGGAACAATCTGCCAGAAAGTGTTGTGATGGCACCAAGTGTAAGCTCTTTCAAGACCAGACTTGACAACACTGGAGCAGGTTCAAGTACATTCAGGAGCCGCTGCATGCCCAGTACTTGCCAACTGTGTGTAACAGAGACGTGAGTGATCGCCCAAATGGTTAACGAGCCGATCGGTGCTGAAGAGGATAAAAGAAAAAGAAAAGTTATTCCTCCACCTGATTTGTTTTATTCTTGAGGTAAGAAATAAGTTTTCTTCTATAGATATTTTTCATTAGGTAGCTAGTTGACCCAGTCCCTTGTCATTAACTGTTGTTGTAATTTGGGGGAATTGCTTTCCTTATTTGGAATTTTCTGCTGTATTTTTGGTTATTTGAGTTAGTCTTGCTACATGAAATGAACCACCAAACATCACTACACCCAAACAGTACAGTACTGAATTAGATATGTGTGTGGTATTGATTATACAGCATGACTTTTTTTTTTTTCCTATTTATATTCAGAAACATGTAAAATAGCACATCTGTATTTGCGTGTATTGTGTGACAATATAACCCAAATATACCATTTCTCTAATGTTTTTCTTTCTTATTTTACATATAGAAACACTTACAACAGGGATTCAGGTGAACCAGCTACTGTACCTAAGAAAATGTAGGATCACCTGAAAGATCTCCATCCCAGCTAACCTAATCCCCCTTACCACAAAATTTTTCTCTCTAGTTTTTCTCATAAATAACAACTCGCATTACGTAATAGGAGATACAATCCTTTCCTTAAACATAATGAAATGAGACTATTACTCTTGGTGCCACAATCCTGATCATCACCAACATTATTTGGCAATGTATCATTTTCCTCTTGGGTTGGTTCTGTAAAGCAGGTAACACTCAACATTTTTGTGTTTCCATTTAATACAACTGAAATTCTGCAGTACTGTACTCAGATATCTACCATTATTTCTAATGTGATTGTTGGTTGAACACTAATAAAATGTAAAATTACGATACTATATTTTTTCATGTATTTATATCCGTACATGTATAGTTTTTCTGAATACGTACCGGTACATTATATGACACAAGTTCTTCAGATGCATAGCTATATAAATCAAAGTTATAGATTACACTGTTTATTATACTGTACTGTCTAATAAAACTGGAAAAAAAATAGTAACTTTGAAATTTTTTAATGAAGGGCGACATAAATGGGGGTTGGCTTGTATTTAGATGGTTTGTCCCTCTTAAGCTTTTCAAAAGTCTGGTGCTCCCTCACTTGGAGTACAGTATAGTACAAAACATCCAAAGGAGGCACCTTATGTAGCTACCAAGAGTGATTAGAACCCTTCAGTTGCTTAGTTTAAACTAGAGAAGGGCAAGTAGTGATTTAAAGAAAAATTTAAATGCACCTGAAAGGGCATTATTCATACATTTGTACATATTTGGAGTTTGCGGATGCCTGGTCCACTAAGGGACACAGGTTCAAGGTAAGGAAGTCACAGGTATAGAAAAATGTCAGAGTTAACTTCTTAGGAGTAAGAGTTGTGAACTTTTGAAAGAACTTGCCAGAGAATATTAAGACAGTACTGTACAGTACTACTGAGTGTGAACTCCTTTAAGACCAGGTTTAAACAACACACACATGTTCAGTTACACTCAAGAGCCTGTAGATGCCCAGTACTTGGCAACAGTGCATAGCAGAAAACAGTCTAACTGCCTGACCAATAAGTAAGATGAGCAGTGTAAAGAGGCTATATCTACTGTATATATAGTGTATAATTTTTAACTAGTTTGTTGCTAATAATGTTCTAAATCATGCTTGTGTTGGAAGATTTGCTATATAATCTCCGTGAATATGAAATCCTGCATGTGCATTAGTGTTCAAATGCGTTTCAGTATGTTGCTTTACTTGTATGAATATTAATTTGAGAATTGTTTATATAACTGTATTTAACCGGTAACTTGTTTTTCTTGGTGCAGCTGATGGCAGGAGAGAGCAGAGGTGAGACATGTGTTGTACTGTATTGCAGGGCTTGAACATAACTACTGTACTGTACTACTGTCCCACTACCCCAGAAAATGATACAGTATGTATATTGGATTGTATACTTATCTTGACAAGTTCAACTTAAGATATTCTGAATCCAGAATTAATTTTGGTAGAGGAAGAAACGTACAGTACTAAGTCATGTTCGGCACATAAATATTTGCTATACAGTATTTCATGGGCATTGGATTTAAGCCCTGAATAGTACATTTGCTGGGATACCTCAGGTTAGCTCACTCTCAGATGCTGTATGTGATGTTTTACGTATCCTTTTTCTTTTATTAATGGTATACACGTACTGTATTACTGTAAGTATCTTAGTCTGATTTTCTTAGAAATGTCATATCAGAGCTCAGATTTCATTTTGGCAAGACTTCCTTTTTTTTAAGCTACCGTATCAGAGAGGGATGGCAGCATTGTTATTTTATTTGTGTTTTTATGTTTATTAATTTAAGAGTTTTTAGTTCTGATATTGTTAGTTGTCTTTGGATGGCTGTTGAAAAGTAAGTCTATTGTTTATCATTTCTAATATTCTTTGTTATCAGTTTTTAGTTTTCTATACAGTGCACAGTATTTTGTTTAATAAGATTTTATCTTTGTTGCAAAAGTCTTTTCTGTATGTACAGTATTGTTGAACTAGAAGCAATTACTTTACTGTGTATACTGTACAGGTATAAACACTCGAATCTAGTAGGTCGGTCATCTGTGAGCCGAGACCGACCTGTCACCAGTAGGCAACGTCAAATTTTGTAGGTAGGCCTACACATCACCAGACTAAGTTAGCTCACTTATGTTAGTATATTAAAGGTTTATTTTAAGGTATAGTAAACAAAATCTCTTAGTTTTAGCCATCACAGGTACTTGGCACACTACAGTATAATAGTTAAAAAAAGTTCCTACTGTTTCTAGAAGCAAGTGTGTGCTTGGTTCGTTTTATATCCCAGCAGCTTCTTATAAGTCACAAAACTTTGCGAGAAGTAAAGTCTATAAATGTTTATTGTCAATACTGATTAGATAGCCCAGTATTGTACATTGATTACAGGTAGACCCCAATTTATGAAAGGATTACATTCATGGAAATAATAAAATTGAGGCATATTTTATCAGTGACTCCCATTATATAATGGAAAATAGGTTTATAAAAAATCTACCCTGAAATGTAACAAAATGACATTACCTGGTAGACATATTTTAATGACACTTTTTGTGGGAAATAATGAGTAGTTACAATAAAAGTGAGTTACATGCAGTTGTAAGTTTATGTAATCATAATTAGATAGGTATTATATCTGTACTTCACTATATAGGACCAGGGTGGACGACATTGCTTAACTATATGAGTCACATTGGTTTTCATCAACCTCAGAGCCATCCATCATTTCGTTTATAAGTACAATATCATCTTGTGTTGGCCCTATTGTCATCACAACTGGTTTCATTGACTACTTGTTCATTATAATGTGTGAGAACTTGACACTGTATTTTCTTCATCACAGTTTTCCTGATCACTGTCATCTTCATTGGGCACAAATTTAAGGAACTCGGTCTTTTTCTTATGTGGTAGAGGCCCACTGTATAATATGCTACAGTACAGTACTAGTATCTTCTGTGCAGTCTTATTCAAAGTAAAATGACAATGATTAACTCGGGCATCATTAATTGTAACTGCGTCGCTGGTTGTTTCATCAGGCTGATCCATTATAATGTAAATTTATATCGGTACTTGCTATTTTTTCTTGAATATGGAATACAGGATCTTCATTAATGATGCTATACACATCAAGTGTCTAGACTAGTATAGGATGTCCCCAGAAGCCTGTGTCAACACCACAGCATCTTATGCCAATTTTTTTAATTTTTATTTAAAAACTGCTAAAGGGGCCAACATAAATTGGTTTCTGACTGTATATTTAAATGTATTAATAAAGTATAAATGTGTTCACATAACTTTTGAAATTAGTTTTTACCAGTACCATATGTGTCAAATTAAACTGAAGATTCCTTCAAGATACACTACTTTAATTTCAAAACCAATGTGAACAACAATAGTATACTGTATATTTTATTAATACACATAAGTATAGAAAATTAAGGTATTGGAAGCAAAATTGACATAGCCCACTAGTAGATTTTTGGACAACAGATGGATGGATAACCCAGGGAATAAAATTTAACGTAACACGGAAGTAAATGCCTAGTTTTCCAAGATCTGGTTTGAGAGTCTCTTCCTGTAGCTTTTACGCTCAAGAATGGTAGAGATTTGGGTATACTGTATGTGTAAAGGTGATACAGTAATTATGTTACAAGATTTGATGACCCAAAATACAGTACAGAATATTCAGGCACCTTCTTGTTCAAACCCTGTGTCATTTGTTCATCTTAGTTTTTTTAGTTTCAGAACTCATGATGGTTGGAGTTATGTTTATAATTATAGTTTATTTCTTTTCTCTTCTGTTTTCCAAAGTCACTATAGTACCTAGAAGTCTTCACTGTTACTGTAAATCTTAAGTCTGTAGTGTCACTTTGCTGTCTTTGATATTATGTTTAAACTGAAGTTCTGGATCTGGGCCAAGGAGTGTTATACTGTTCTCATTATGTGTGTGTCTGTACCTTTTCTACCAGGCAATTAAACTATACTTTGTCCACATTTTTAGTAAAGATTCTTTAAAACTTCTCCTTTGGTTAGGAAGCTTTTCTTAACATGAAATATTAAACAGACAGATGAATTGAAGGACAGACGAAGCATAAAGAATATGCTCTCATGAATTGCAGTGCAATCACGCACATTACTGTAATTTACTCTTTTAGAAGGAGAAAGTGACAAACTGCAAAACAAAACAAAATGCTACTGTACAATTACTGTACCTGATTTTTAAATTGATAAGACAACAATATCTCTAGTTTTATGCAGTGAACCAATGAGAGATGAGCTTTATCATATATATATTTCTTTTTTACAGGATCAGACAGCATGTCACATTACGGAGAGACCCACTCAGAGCGCCTGACCCGGAAAGCTCGTGATGCCCCCTTCATGATTGTTGGTACATATCCACAGTTTCTATTTGTGTTGCCTTTTCTTTTAGACTTAAGGTTGGAGGCTAGAAAGGAATACTAGAAAGGAAGAAAGAAGTACAGTACAGGATGGGCACAGACATAATGGTTAAAGTTTCTTGAGATCAGAAAATTGCCTTTTACTCTTACTATACTGTACTTGGTAGAAATCATTTTATGAAATTGTTACTCCTCTTCCAATATTTGTGGTGGGTGGATCATGTATTACAGACAGAAACGTCAATGGAGGGGAGAAGTGATAGTTAATGTTCAGGACAAGTGTACATGATACAAGCAAGCCGAGATAACTGTCCACTAGCTCACATTCCCTGCTCAATATTATAGTACAGTAATCTCATGCCAAATGTGGGTTTACCAATGGCTGTTTTGAGTATCGCACATTAAGAGGAAGATGGTACTTATGTAGCTAATTCAAATACAGGTTTATTTTAATGCATTTAGAATATGTAAAACATCAATTATGTTCTGCTCGTAAGTTTTAATTATTCTATATGTACTGTACTTAATTATTTTAAGGCTCATTAATTCACACAAATTGCTTGAATTTCTATATTTAAAATCCAGATCCAGCATGTAATGGAATACCTTTGTATGAAATTTGAACATACAGTCGGCCCTTAACATACGCAGGGGTTACGTAACAGAGATAGCCGTGGATGTTAAAAATCCGCGTATATGTGCTGCCCCCCACCACAAAAAAAAAACCCTGGCCCCCCATGTCCTTATTTACCGTATATACCTGTGTGTAGTTCGAGTTTTTAAGGCCAAATTATTTGGCAAAAAATTGGGGGTCGACCTCTAAAAGGGTAATAGTTTCGTTAGGTTGAAAAATATTTACCAGTAACTATCAGTAAACAATGGAAACGATGCACCAACGCACCACCAGCTGTGAGTGTCGGTACAGTTGTCAGGGCAGATCTCTTGCGTCATCATAGCAAGCCCAAAGTAGCCAAATCCATGGTATGGTAGCACAGGACGATGTAAAACAAAGTATTAATTTATTAAAGTGTATTTATAGATACTGTACATAAATTTCTTTCATTACATTTGAAACATCAATCTTTGTTAATTAAATTTGAAACAAAAGAAAACTACGATACCGTATTTTCATTAAAATATTACATCACAAGTATATTTTACCTTAACTGTGACTGAGTGAATATACGTACAGTATTCTCAGAAATAAATATGGAAATACTGTATAATATTTTTGCTGGAATGACGTACTTATTACAGTGGAAAGTGGGATAAAATTGTGACGAAAACAATGACTTTCGCTTTCTTTCGTTATTCAAAAGATTTTACCGTAAACGCTTTTCGAATGGTTTTCAGTTAAAAACTGTTGTACTCGTACTGTATTACAATAATATTCTATCCTATCATTAGCCTTATAATCCCACAACTGAAAACCATTCGAAGAGCGATGACGGCAACATCTTTTGAACGAAAGAAAGAGAGTCATTGCTTTCGTCACAATTTTATCCCACTTTCCACTGTAATACGTACATCATTTCAGCAAAAATATTACATTTCTATGTTCTCAGAAATAAATGGTAGTTTTGTTGAAATGTAATGTACAGTAATTAATATTAAAATGCAAAAATAGCTATAAAAACAATTAATACACCCGAAATATACTGGCTGGCATCTCCACTCGTCCCTGCTCCTGCATCCAAGGTCACCACTCCTCCCAACTCGCTCCCTCCGCTCCCTCCTCACCGTCACTACTGCCGACAACAAACACAAATGTTTTGTGAATAATTGCACTTCCACTTCCACTTTCTATGTACAGTACTTGTACTGAACTGTACTGTGCTGTGCATTTTTACAAATAATAAACATGGCAAGAAAAGCTATTAAAAAAAAGAG